AACACTGTGAGATATAAAATGAACAATTTTGATTATATTCAATTAAACTGTACAAATAAAACTAAAGTAGCCAAGATTAGAAGGAAAACAGAAAATTGAGGGGAATTTTTTTTTCCCTTTTTGGTGAGGCAATTGGAGTTGAGTGACTTGCCCAGGGTCACACAGCTAGTAAGTGTCATATGTCTGAGATCAGATTTGAATTCAAGTCCTCCTGACTCAAAGGCCAAAGTTCTATCCACTTCACCACCAAGCTGCCCTGGGAAATTTTTACAGGCAGTTTCTCAGATAAAGGCCTTATATCTCAAATATATAGAGAACTTTGTTAAATTTATAAGAGTCATTCCCCAATTGATGAATGGTCAAAGGATATGAAGAGGCAGCTCATTGATGAAGAAATCAAAGCTACATGCAGTAATTTGAAAACATTTTCTAAATCATTATTAATTAGAGAAATGCAAATTAAAACAACTTTGAGATACCACATCACACCTATCAGATTGGCTAACATGACAAAACAGGAAAATGATAAATATTGGAGAAGATTTAGGAAAATTGGAACGTTAATGCGTTGTTGGTGGAGTTATGAACTGATCCAGCCATTCTGGAGAGTAATTTGAAACTATGACCAAAGGGCTATAAAATTGTGCATAACCTTTGACCCAGCAATAGCATTCCTAGGTCTGTATCCCAAAGAGATCATAAAAATGGGAAAAGGACCCACATGTACAAAAAATATTTATAGCAGCTCTTTTCGGAGTGGCCAGGAATTAGAAATTGAGGGAATGCCCATGAATTGGAGAATGGCTGAACAAGTCGTGGTATATGAATGTAATGGAATGCTATTGCGCTGTAAGAAATGATGAGCAGGCAGATTTCAGGAAAACCTGGAAAGGCTTACATGAACTGATGCTAAGTGAAGTGAGCAGAACCAGGAGAACATTGTACACAGTAACAGCAACATTGTACAATGACAAACTTTGATAGACTTAACTCTTCTCAGCAATGCAATGATCTAAGACAATTCCAAAAGATTCATGATGAAAAATGCTATCCACATTCAGAGAAAGAATTATGGAATTTGAATGCAGATCGAAACATATTATTTTCTCTCTTTTTTTGTTTTTTTTTCTTTCTCATGGTTTTTCACTTTTGTTCTGATTCTTATTTCACAACATGACTAATGTGGAAATATGTTTAATATGATTGTACATGTATAGCCTCTATCATGCCATGGGTGGGGCGGGGGGGATTTAGAACTCAAAATCTTATAAAAGTGAATGTTGAAAACTAAAAATAAATAAATAATAGTATCTACCTTTGAGGTTTGTCGTGAGTACAAAATGAGATGATATTTGCAAATCACTTTATAAACCTTAAAGCACTATATAAATTCTAACTATTAATAATAATGATAATGTGAGTCCTTTTCCTAAGGCAGCTAGGGGGTTCAGTGGATAGAGCCTAGGCCTGACATCAGAAAGACCTGAGTTCAAATCCAGCCTCAAACACTTAATAGCTGTATGATCCTGGGTAAATCACTTAGCCGCCATTTGCCTCAGTTTCCTCATCTGGAAAATGGGAATAATAATGGCACCCATCTAACAGGTCGTTGTGAGAATCAAATGAGGTAATATTTATAAAGTAGCACACTTTACTACAGTACCTGGCACCCTGTTGGTGCTTATATAATGCTCTTTCTATCCCTCCCCTCCTTCCCTTACTAATCAAAGGAAGCATTCTTTACAAAATACTCAGGACCTCAAAAATCTTGATAGAATTGTCATTAAACTTTAAAAAATAATGTATCACTTACAGAGAGTTCTGATGAGGAATGTTTCATTTCCCCTTCTCTCTGTCTTCTCCACAAATCATCATAGATATTCAGACTCCTGGGGACAAGTACTTCATAGTAAGAGATTTCTGAACCATCTTCCAACTGCCAGCACAAATTATTTTTCTCAACATTCCAGCTGGCTTTTAAAGTGATCGTTTTCAGCATTGACTCTGACATTTACTAGCAGAGCATCCTTTGGACAAGTCACTTAACTTGTCTGGGCCTCCATTTCCTCTCCTATATGTTGAAGGTAAAGGAGTAGATGACCTCTAAGACACTGGACCTTCCAGCTTTAAATCCAATGATCTGTGGTGTTTCAGGAAACAGTGGTATTCCAGGATATGGCTGAGGTCATGTCTGAGAACTCCTGGAACCTGGTCTTCCTGGTTAAGAACAGTCTGTCCTCTGATCTAACCCCTGCCTCATTGATAGGGAGCAGTCATTGAAGGGAGGGTCTTGGCTCCCTTACATATTGCTACTTAGCAGACAGTGTTTTAAGCTTTTATCCAGTAATGGAGAACAGAGATGCCTCATCTCTTTCTATCTGAAAGACAGGGTCCTCCTGCTCCCTCTTCTCATACAAAAGGGATTTTGTTTGGTCTAGTAGGAATGTGAAAGCTTCATGTATTGCTCTTCAGGATGTCCTTTTCTTATTCCAGTGACCTTCAGGTCAAAAATTATATGAGAATTAAAGAATCTCAGACTTGCTGCTGACCTTAGAGGTTGTCTGTCTTAACCCCTGCATCGACAAGAATTTCTTCTATGACCTCCCTAAGAAGTGATCTTCCAGGTTTTCTTTGAAGTAATCCGTGAATGGAGCCTCCTAATTCTGGAGGAAGCCCCTTTCTCACAGTGCTGGTTCCAATCCTTAAGACAGTCTTCCTGACTTCAAGACTAAATCTGCCACCCATTCCTGTTCCTCCTACTCCTGGGGCTTAACAGAGATAATCTGTCCTTACGTCAGTTCTCAGAGTACCAGTAACATATCTTGTTTCCGGGGTAGATTCAAAGGCATTTCATTTAGGAGCTCTTCCTAGAACTTTCTAGAATTTAAGACACTGGTGGAGATGTTCTAGGTAATTATGCTTAAACTTGGTGGTGATAAGACTTAGTATAATTCAACAAAGTCCAAAACAATCCAATTCCCTTCCAATAATTAGTTCATGTGGTGAAAGCCAGTGCAAATCTAATGGAGTTAACTTTATAAACATCAGAGCTATAGGAAGATCATCAAATTAAGCTAGGTTATCTGAAAGTTTGGAGAATTATGGTCTTCACATATCACTTGTTCTTTTTATCATAGTCTGAACCCCGTATGTGGCATGGATGATCAACAGACTAGAGGCTTATAAAGGATGCTTGAGGACCAGACTTTGTAAAACTATAGCTCCTGTCTCCAGATATCATCAGAGGGGAGACCTTAAACTGGGAAAATATGATCTAAATGTTTCTCAACAACTAATCAAAGAAATTCTACATGTGAAAGCCTCACTCCAACCGGAGACTTTATAGACAATTATTAAAACATATCCAAAACCTGTGTATTTAGGCATGTGTGTGGATGGGCATCTATGGATTTTCAAAGGCACCTGAAGGAAGTTCAGTAGTTCCCTGTTACCCCTAAGATAAAATAATCATTTAGAACCATAATCTTTACTTGGCCTTTTCCATTATTTTTGACCAGTACAGCCAGAGCAGTTCTAGGGTCATTAATACAATTACAGCCATCCTGAGTCCTTTACATATATTCTTTTACCAGATGGAAAACATTGGAAAGTTAATCATATTGCTACTAGCTCTCAAGCAGGAGCAATCATTATGTTGTTACTTTTCCCAAAGTATAGTTTACTAATCCATTACAAATGAAAACCTTTACATCTTTATCACATCTCATTTTTATTATATCCCCCTCTTTGAAGATATGTTATCTTCATATCATTCAGAAAGAATGTAACAGGGCATGCCAAGTTATGTCATTAAATAATGATAGAATTCTGTCATTATATAATGACATAATCTTATATGTGGATGTATCATTATTAAACCAATGAACAAGGAGATGGAAAGTCTAAGAACTGACTTTTCCCTAGTCCCTTAGATAAGGAAATTGAGACAAATAATGGTCATAAGTTCAGAACAGGAATAATCCAAGTAGTGTCCTTCCCGCATGCATCTTATCATACTAGCTTAAAGATACTTGCGGACTATAACAATAGGATTCATTATAAAACATTGAAAGATCTGCTACGATCAGAGATTTTTGCTATGAAAGGAGGAAGAACATGGTCGTAACATCAAGACTGCTCCCTCAGGCCTAAACCTAAAGTCACAAGCTGATGAGAAAACTCCCTTAGCTCTATTTGATTTCAGGTAAAAGGCAGAGATAACTTTTGGAATTATAGCAATCATACAACTGAGTTCATTCATAGGGTGTCATAGCCAAGCTCGTGACCTAGAAAATATTTCTGTTCAGAAAGGAAATAGCACAGGATGAGGAATGAATGGGGAGGGAACAGCCACAGGGAAGACAAGCTTCCTGATCCTGAAAGGAGAATTAAAATGGAAAAGAATCAGAGAACTAGAATCCAAAGCAGGAGGGGTCTCTCAATCGAGCTACGTCTAAACAAATGGTGGTATGTGAACTAATGGAATGTTCCTTCACTGTAATGAAAAAAGAGATGATTTCAGAGTGAAGTGAGCATAACTAGGAAAATAACTTCTACATGAACAATATCATAAAGAAAAATAGTAAGATTTAAGAACTGATCACTGCAGTGACGAGCCATGTGTCTGAAGGACTTGGGATGAAATATTACACACCTCCTGTCAGAGGGGCGAGGGTCTCAAGGTGAAGAAAGAGACGTATCTTTCAACATGGTCATTGTGTGGATTTGCTCTGCTCCACTATGTCTATTTGTGACAAGAGAATTCCCTTTCCATTTTCAATGAGTGAGAAAGGCCAAATTTAGCAATAGTAATGTCAAAAATAAAATGGCCATTAAACCATTTCTTTAAAAAATGCGCTGAAAAGAACAGAAGGCAGCATGGACGAAAGGAAAAGTTTCTAAAGCAATGTGCAGAATTTTATTATATACCTTTAAAAAAGGAAATGGTTTAAAATGGAGATTAATGTTTTCATTTTTGCTGTTCAATCATTTCAGTCATGTCTCATTCTTCATGACCCCATCTGAGGTTTTCTTGGCATAGATATTGGAGTGATTTGCCATTTCCTTCTCCAACTGATTTCACAGAGAATCTAATTTGTGTTCAGTTATGTATATAGAAATGTAATTTGGTGCTCTTTATGGTCAGAATAGAAAATTACAAAAAGAAACAAAATGAGTACCAATTATATGGCTTATATAAATATTATAAAAATAGTCTTGACCTGATCAGGCCCCTGAAAAGGCCTCAAGCACCGCCAGGGATTCACAGACCATGCTTTCCAAACCACTGGCCTAGGGCTCTTTCAAGTTTGAGCACCTCCATTTCAAGCAAGTTTGGAGGGCTTTCTAAAAGCATTTTCACATTTATTACATTTGTAAGGTTTCTTTCCAGTATGTGCATTCTGATGCCTAAAAAGATCTCTACTCTGGCTGAAGGCCTTCCCACAGTCATTACACTTATAAGGCTTCTCCCCAGTATGGATCCTCTGATGCACAGCAATGTTAGAGGGCTTTCTGAAAGCCTTTCCACATTGATTACATTTGTAAGGTTTCTCTCCAGAATGAATCCTCTGATGTGCAATGAGGGATGACCTCTGGCTGAAGGCCTTCTCACACTCATTACATTTGTAGGGCTTCTCCCCAGTATGAATTCTCTGATGTACACTGAGGTTGGCACTCTGGCTGAAGGCCTTCCCACATTTACTACAAGTATAGGGCTTCTCTCCAGTATGAATCCTCTGATGTCGAATCAGGTCCCTACTCTGGGTGAAGGCCTTTGCACACATGTTGCATTTGTAGGGCTTCTCTCCAGTGTGAATCCTCTGATGTCGAAGAAGGTCCCTACTCTGGGTAAAGGCCTTCTCACATTCGTTACATTTGTAAGGCTTCTCTCCAGTATGAATCTTCTGATGTACATCAAGATTGGAAGGCTTCCTGAAAGCCTTTCCACATTGATTACATTTGTAAGCTTTCTCTCCAGAATGAATCCTCTGATGTGCACTAAGAGATGAGCTCTGGTTGAAGGCCCTTCCACATACATTACATTTATAGGGCTTCTCTTCAATATGAATATTCTGATGACTAAGAAGGTGCCTACTCTGGCTGAAGGCCTTCCCACATTTGTTACATTTGTAGGGCTTTTCTCCAGTATGAATCCTCTGATGTACAGCAAGGTTGGATGGTTTTCTAAAAGCCTTTCCACATTGATCACATTTATAAGGTTTCTCCCCAGAATGAATTCTCTGATGTGCAATAAGGGATGACTTCTGGCTGAAGGCCCTGCCACATTCGTTACATTTATAGTGCTTTTCTCCAGTATGAATTCTCTGGTGTACACTGAGGTTTGCACTCTGACTAAAAGCCTTCCCACATTTGTTACATTTATAGGGTTTTTCTCCAGTATGAATCCTCAGGTGTTGAAAAAGGTCTCTACTCTGATTGAAGGCCTTCTCACATTCATTACATTTATAAGGCTTTTCTCCAGTATGAATCCTTTGATGTCGAACAAGGTCTCTACTCTGGCTGAAGTTCTTCCCACATTCAGAACATTTGTAGGGTTTCTCTCCAGTGTGAATCCTCTGATGTACAACAAGGTTGGAGAGCTTTCTAAAAGCCTTTCCACACTGATTACATTTGCAAGGTTTCTCTCCAGAATGAATCCTCTGATGTGCAGTGAGGGATGAGCTCTGGCTGAGGACTTTCCCACATTCATTACATTTGTAGGACTTTTCTCCAGTATGAATATTCTCATGTCTATGAAGGTGTCTGCTCTGGCTGAAGGCCTTCCCACATTCATAACATTTGTAGGGTTTCTCTCCAGTATGAATCCTCTGATGTACAGCAAGGTTGGATCGGTTTCTGAAAGCCTTTCCACACTGATTGCATATGTAAGGTTTCTCTCCAGAATGAATCCTCTGATGTGCAATGAGGGATGCGCTCTGGATAAAGGCCTTTCCACATTCAGTGCATTTATAGGGCTTTTCTCCAAAATGAATCCTTTGATGTACATCAAGGTTGGAGAGCTTCCCAAAAGTCTTTCCACATTGACTGCATTTATAAAGTTTCTCTCCCGAATGAATCCTCTTATGTACAGTAAGGTTTGCACTTTTGCTAAAGGCCTTCTCACATATATTACATTTAAAAGACTTCTCTCCATGGTGCATATTCTGATGACTGTTCAAGTCAGTACTTCTGATGAAGGGCCTCCCATATTCTTTGTATTTATGGAATTCCTCTCCAGTAGGAATGTTCTGATCTCCAACAATGTCTCCATCTCTGCTGAAGGCTTTCTGATGCTCATTACATTTAAGAGGCCTTTTTACACCGTGAGTTTTCTGACATTTAATAAGATCTTCACTCTGAAAAATGGCTTTCCTATATTTCTTAGATTCATTCCATTTCTCTGCAGTTTGAACCCTCTGGTGTACCGTAATAGAGGAGAGATGGGAGAAAGCTGTTCCAAGTTCATTGTATCTATAAGGCATTTCTCCACTATGACTCTTCTGATGCCCCAAAAAGTCTGGGCTCAAGGTCAAGGCTGTCTTACAGTGATTACCTTGAAAACCTTTCACTCCAGTATGCTTCCCATAACCATGAGTAAGCGCTAATGGCTGATTAAAGCATTCCCCATATGTCCTACACTTGGAATAGCCATTTCCTGAGGTTATTTTCTTATATTGAAATAGATCTGAGTTTTGTCTGAAGCTCTTTCCACTTTTGTCATATTCACTGTGAATATTTTCTACAGGAAATCTTCGTTGGTCAGAAATTGCTGACCCCAGGCTAGAACTTCTATCATCCCTCCCTTCACTGGGAGTTTGTCTGAGTATAATTTTTAAATGTCTGGAATCACTCTTCCAGTTGCCTTGATTTTTCTCTAACTTGATATTGTAATCCCAGAGTTCTTTCAAATTCAAGTCACAGGAAATGCTCAGCTTTGGAGTATATTCCTTGGTTTTAGGCCTGGCTCCCCCACCTACAGGAAACAAGTAATGTCAATATGTCAGCTTACTTCTATTGATAGTAAGAAGACGGATTCACATTTAGCATCACCTCAGTCTTTTCTCTTTGGACTCTTGCCTTCTCTCCTCACCACTTCGACTCTGAAATCGAGAATACATCTGGGCTGGCCAGATCTTCGGCCACTGGGGTGTCCTCCCACTCTTCCTTTCCCTTGTCCTCTCTTCAACATCCAGAACCCATCAATTGTCCATGACTACTCACATGGCTTAGATGGTAAGGGAGTTACCAGCACTGTTCCTTCCCATGAGATAGAGGACCATCCACTCTTACCACCTTCCCTGCCACTCTGTCCTAAGGCCCTCCAGCAGGTAGGTGGTGCCATGTTGCACGGAGTGCTGGGCCTGGAGTCAGGAAGTCTCATCTTCCTGAGTTCAAATCTGGCCTCAGACACTTACTAGCTGTGTGACATTGAGCAAGTCATTTAACCCTGTCTCAGTCTCTTCATCTGTAAGATGAGCTGGAGAAGGAAATGGCAAACTACTCCAATACCTTTGCCAAGAAAACTCTAAATGGGGTCACAAAGAGTTGGAGGTGACTGAAAACAAGTGAACAACAAATGAATGCTTATTGACTGACTGACTCACAACGAGCCTTTAACATAAGCAGACCAAACATTCTCATTACGTTTTACAGCTCAGGGATCAGAATGGTTAAATGACATGACCAAAGTTATACTACTTACAAAGGAAGAGCTGGAACTTTACTCCTACTCTGATACAGCTAGTTCAGAACTCTTTCTGTAGTCCTCCATTGCCTCTCTCTATTTGAAGATGAATTCTTTCTTCAAAAGCCTTTTGTTGATAACTAATTTTAATTGTGTTCTGGTCCACAACTTATATATCTAATGTTTCTGGTTTTCTCTATTTGTTTTGTTTTGTTTTGTTAGGCTCTAGCATTAAGTCCAATTTTAGTAAAGGTGCTGTGCTAAGCTGAGTAATAAGGTATATACCATTCAATTGTCATTAAGTAATTGCCATAAATCTATGCAACCATAAACTTGGGAAGTAACCTCTGTGGAAATGCAACCAGCCAAATGTTTCCTTGTACATTAGAGCCCTTCTGCCTCAGCAGTCCTTGCTGCTAAAAACAACCAAAAGAATGTTCTCACCACTAAAGTCCCTGGTATGGTCAAATGCTTCAATGTCAGAAACAGATACGATTTTGTCACATAGAAAAGGCATTGAAGAATGTGCATTACTATTTGCTTTGCCTTTACACCACAGAGATCATAGAACTTTTCAATCTGACTTGCAAAAAGCCTTTACATATTGTCTACTCCATCATGATGTGAGCTCCTTAAGAGCTGGGAATCTTGCTAATTATTTTGCCTCTCTAATAATTAGCACCATGCTTTGCACATAATAATCAGTCAATATGTATTTTTTCATTCATCCAATACTTCACCACTGACACCGCAATGGCTCTGTCATTATATTCCTGGGGGATGAGAGGTTTCCTCAAATAGGTTGATCAGAGCCCACCCATTCCTGACCATTCTGTATTATTTTTGTGCAGGTTTATCAATATCTTCCATAAAATGTAGTGCCGAGTACTGAACATATTACTTACTAAAGGTGTTCCTGGAGTAAGTCACAATATAATGGGCCTATCAGCTCACTTGGTATGGACACTATGCTTCCATCCATCCAGTCTCAATTTATGTCTGCTTCTTTTGGCTTCCTATTCACTCTTATCGGATTTTCAGACCTGACACACTCAGGTCTTTTTATGCATCAATTGTGCACCAATCCAGACCTATCTCCCCGAGTCTAAAACTATGTAGTTGATTTGTTAAACTTGCATGTAAGATTTCATATTCATCCCAACTAAATTGGATTTTATCAAATGTCATCCATTGTTCTCCTGACATTTTATCTACTTCTAAAGGACTTGCTGAGATTTCCATCAATGTGAACCAGATATAGAATGGGACGAGCATCACTCCATAGCTATATTTCACTCTTCTAACAAGACTCTCAAGCCTTCTATGCAATGAACATATCTCTCTCGAATCATGCTCAGGGCTTAGGGAATTGTTTTAGTCCTTATGAGAAATAGAACATTAGTCCAATCACTGAACAGCCAAGGGGAAATGACTCAAAAGACTTATCTCTGAGGCAGCTAGGTAGTGCAGTGGATTGAGTGCTGGGCCTAGAGTCAGAAAGACCTGAATTCAAATCTGGCCTCAGACACTTACTAGCTGTGTGACCCTGGGCAATTCAGCTAATCTCTGTTTGCCTCAGTTTCCTCAACTGTAAAATGGGGATAATAACAGTACCTACCTCCCAGGGCTGTTGTGAGGATCAAATGAGATAATATTTATAAAGCACTTAGCACAGTGCCTGGAACACAGTAGGTGCTATATAAATGCTTGTTCCATTTCCCTTTTCTGGGACAAAAGAAATCCCTAAGAATGGGGAAAGAGAAAGGTCTGTGTCATACCAGGGACCACTTTCTCCAAAAAATGTAGGTAAACATCAGGCAAGAGATATCAGGAAAAAACTTTTTTGACAAAGACAGTCTATGAAAGAGCTCAAAGTATACAGCCTTAGTCATTTTCAACTGACCTCAAGAGCTTTGAGGAGTTCTTTATATTTCTAAGAGTGCCTTACATCTCCAAATATTGATTTCTTGAGATAATAGCCTTGGATCTTCCTGATCTAACTCACTCACCTAAACAGGAGTTTATTGAATCTTCTCTCTCCAGCATCCATGGTGCTTCCCCTTGGTCCAACTGGGAGATCAAATCTTCTTTGGGAACTGGAAGCCCTGCTCATGGTAAATAGGGAAGTGTTGAGAGCAGAGAGAACCTCAGAATTTAGTCCTTTTCAGTTTTCAGGGAAAGGGGATGAGCTCTAAAGGGCCAGAGGATGGTTCCGAGCACCCTTTTGGATGATCTATATGGTTTTACTGGGAACTATTGGAGGCGGGAGAGAAAAGATTATGGAGCCCATTTGGAATTACTAAAGTCATTATTTGCCCATCTCTCTCCAAGAAATATGTAGACATTTCTATATCTCTCATTATATTCATTGGAATTTGGGAGGAGTATCAAGGAAGAATAAGGACAAACTTGCCCTGTTAAACCCAAGAAACAAGGCTTCGTTTAAGTGAGTTGCAAATTTAGGTTTTATATCATGTACAATATCATAATGATTAGACAATTCCAAAGGTGAAGGGGCTTCCTCAAGAAGTAGGGATTCCCTTCACAGGAGATTGTCAAGTAAAAGCTGGTTGACCACCTTTCAGGGAGGAAATTTTGGTTCACTTGGGAGTTAGACCAGATAACCTATGAGGTCAGTTCCAAGTCTGAGATTCTGTAATGATGATTTAATCTTTGACCCGAAGCTCCCTGGAATCTGAAAGAAACAGCTTAAGGAGCAACAGATGAAGCTCCTAGCTTCCTATCAGATAAAATGAAGACTTTTTATGTAAGAATAGGGAGCAGGGAGACCCTATCTCTTGTATAAAGGGGGACTAGAAATCTCTGTTCTCTATTAATACAGAGAAGCTTAAAACATTGTACACTTGGTAGCTGGGGGTTAGGGGCATGGAGTGGTGGTGGAGTAAAAACATTCCCTTCAATGGCAGAATTGAAATAGCTGGGGTAGGGGTGGTGTAGAACGGCATGTTGACCTTACCCAGGGAAAGCATGTTCCAGGAGTTCTCCAGCATGACATCTTTATACAGCTTCTTCTGTGAAGTGTCCAGGAGGCACCACTCCTCCTGGCTAAAGGCCACAACCACATCCTTGAATGTCACCGATTCCTGAAACACCAAAGGCTACAGAATTTAGATATGGAAGAGTCTTTAGAATTTATCTAGTCTAACCTCCTCAATTTAAAGAGGAGGACACTGAGGCCTAGAGAACTCAATTTAGCTCTGCCAAAGGTCACACTGTTCATGTCAGAGCCAACAGTTAAAATCATAATCTTTTTGGAGTTTTTTTGGTGAGGCAACCAGGGTTAAGTGACTTGCCCAGGGTCACATAGCTAGTAAGTGTCAAGTGTCTAAAGCCAGATTTGAACTCAGGTACTCCTGGCTCTAAGACCAGAGCTCTATCCACTACATCATCTAGCTGCCCCTAAAATCATAATCTTTAAGAGCCAAATGGAATGTTGAGAAGAGCAGTTTGTTCTAGCAGTTGGAAGATAGTTCAGAGATGTTTTACTGTGAAGTTCTTGACTACATGGAGTCAGCAATCAAGTATCTGTTTATTTGTGATCTATGAAAAACTACGGAGAAGTCAGGGAGATAAGGTAATGTGAAATTACTTTCTTATCAAAATGGTCCTAAGTGATAAGACATAAAGAAACTTTGTAAAGAAAATTCTATGAAGGGTTTGTGAGCAAAATAAACCCTTAAGGAGGGGAAATGGGAAAAAAAGAGAAAAGAAAATATAACAGAATAGGATGGAGGGAAATATAAAGTTAGCAATTATGACTGTGAATGTGAATAAGATGAACTCACCCATAAAACAGAATTGGAAAACAGAATGGATTAGAAACCAAAATCCAACAATATATTGTTTACAAGAAAAACTGTTGAAACAGAAATTTATACAGAGAGTTAAAACAAAGGGCTGAAGTAAAATCTATTACACTTCACCTGAAGTAAAAAACAAAACAAAACAAAACAAAATTTAAAAAAAACCAGGGGAAGTAATTATGATCTCAGAAAAAGCAAAAGCAAACATAGACCTAATTGAAAAAGATAAACAGGGAAACTGTAATTTGCCAAAAGGTATCATGGACAATGAATTAATATAAATACTAAACATATATGCACAATGTGACATAGCATCTACATTCTAAAAAAAATTTAAATTTAAATATACAGTAAAGCTATAATGGTAATGGAACTCAACTTATCCCTCTCAGGCCTAAATAAATTATATACATTATAAAATTATATAAATATATTTACATATATTATTATATATAAATATATATTGTATAAATTATAAAATTAAATAAAAATTGACTAAAAAAAGAATTTAAGGACCTGAATAGAATTTTAGAAGTTAAATATGCTAGACTTCTTGAAAATACTTTGTTGACAATAAGAGATCAAAGACAGAGCAAAAGGACCCATAGGTACAGAAGTAGTCACAGCAGCTCTCCATCAGTTGGAGAAGGGCTGAATAAGATAAAGTCTATGAAATGGAATAACATTGTGCCTGAAGAAATGGGGAATGGGAGGTGACTACAGAGAGATGGGAAGACTTGGATGAAGTGAGCAGAGTGAAGTAAGCAGAACCAGGAGACAGTTATACACTGTCTATGAGACTGTAAAGGAAAACTACTGGGAAAGACTTCAGAGTCAGGTCAGACTTTTGGGTCAAGGCATCTGCAGACTAACGTGTGAAGGTGGTTTGCTTGACTGTACATATGTGTTACATGAGACAACTTTGAAAAAAACCAAACAGGGCAAGAAGCTGGATGGGGGTAGTACCAGTGATGCACAAGAAAAAAAAAAGAATAGAAAATGTTAACAAACAAGATAAAACTCAAAAAAGAGAAGAAGTAAGTTCAGATGGGGGCAATAACAGGCAGAACTGTGGTGCTGCTACTATATTGAATGTAATACATATTTTAAAAGTAATATTCTACAGGTAATATCCACTGAAAGTTTCATATACAACCTTAATTTGCTGTTCTTCTATGACTATGGAAATGTTCACGTTTGCTAATATTTGTCAGGTGTGTGGACCAACTCCACTGATCTGAGATGGAGACCTATGGATACCAGGGGCCATTCCTTATGACTCCAAACTCCCTTGTTGAAATAGGACCAGATCCTGTGCAGGTTGAGCTAGGGAGAGAAAAGGATCATTGAAGAGGAGGAATCTTGCCTTTCCCCTCCCAGGTCAGAAACTGGCCATCAAGACAAGGACCTGGGGGGCAGAGCCAAGATGGCAGAGCAAAAGCAGTGACCTGCTTGAGTTCTCTCCCAAACCCCTCCAAATACCTGTAAAAATGACTCGAAACAAATTCTAGAGCAGCAGAACCCACAAAGACAGAGTGAAACAAATTTGCAGCCCAAAACAGCCTGGATGGTTGACAGGAAAAGTCTGTTGCACCGGGCTAGGAGAGGAGCACTGTTCAGCATGGGCCGGGCAGCAAAGACGGGCCAGAGGAAACCCGGAACAGGCCTCAGGGGACTAAATCATAGGAAGTTGTGGTGATTTCCAGACTTCTCAACCCACAAACACCAAAGACAACTTAGAAGGTCAATGGGAAAGGTTTGTCGGACCGGGGTGAGAGAGGAGCATGGTCCAGCTCTGGCCCTAACATAGCCCTGGGGCAGCAGCCACAGCTGCAGCAGTTGCTTCCCAAGTTTTTGGAACATAGATGGTGTGGGGATTGAGCAGCTGATTAGAGGGGGATTGCAGGGATCTCTTTGCTGGTACTGAGGCAAGATTCTCTTGCTTTGCTAGTGATTGGATCTGTGTTGCAGTCCTAGGTGGTGGTCCTGGGGTGAAAAGGAGCACTGGCATGGCAGAGCTTGTGGTAGCACTAGAGAGGGAATCCTCCTCACAGTTACAAGGCACAAAAAAGTGCTCATGGTCACTCACAGACCAGAGCACAGCCCAGGAAGCGAGTAAACACCTCTCTTTAGATCACACCACCTTGGAAGAAATGAAAATTTACAGGTCCCTAGAAATATTTCTGAAAACAGCTACACAAAACCCCTGAAGCTTGGGACAGTACACCCTCCATGCTGGAAGCAGAACCCTACCTCAACAAAGAGTTAAAAAGTCAAGTAATTGGCTGGGAACATGAACAAACAGTGGGAAAAACTCAGATTATAGAATCTTACTTTGGTGACAAAGATCAAAACACACAACCAGAAGAAGACAACAATGTCAAAGCTCCTACATTCAAAGCCTCCAAGAAAAATATGAATTGGTCTCAGGCCATGGAAGAGCTCAAAAAGGATTTTGAAAAGCAAGTAAGAGAAGCAGAGGAAAAAATGGGAAGAGAAATGAGACTGATGCAAGAAAATCACAAAAAACGAGTCAATAGCTTGCTAAAGGAGACCCAAAAAAATACTAAAGAAAATACCTTAAAAAATAGATTAACCCAAATGGCAAGATAGGTCCAAAAAGCCAATGAGGAGAAGAATGCCTTAAAAAGCAGAATTGGCCAAATGGAAAAGGAGGTCCAAAAGCTCCCTGAAGAAAATAATTCCTTAAAAATTAGAATGGAACAAATGGAAGCTAATGACTCTCTGAGAAATCAAAAAATAACCAAACAAAACCAAAAGAATGAATAAATAGAAGACAATGTGAAATATCTCATTGGAAAAACAACTGACCTGGAAAATAGATCCAGGAGAGAGAATTTAAAAATTATTGGACTACCTGAAAACCATGATCAAAAAAAGAGCCTAGACATCATCTTTCAAGAAATTATCAAGGAAAAATGCTCTGATATTCTAGAATCAGAGGGTAAAATAGAAATTGAAAGAATACACCAATCACCTCCTGAAAGAGATCCCCAAAAGAAAATTCCTAGGAATATTATAGCCAAATTCCAGAGTTCCTAGGTCAAGGAGAAGATATTTCAAGCAGCCAGAATAAAACAATTCAAGTATTGTGTAAACACAATCAGGATAACACAGGATTTAGCAGCTTCTACATTGAAGGATTGGAGGACTTGGAATATGATATTCTGGAGGTCAAAGGAACTAGGATTAAAACCAAGAATCACCTACCCAGCAAAACTGAGTATAATCCTTCAGGGGAAAAAATGAACATTCAATGAAATAGAGAATTTTCAAGTATTCTTGATGAAAAAAAAACAGAGCTGAATAGAAAATTTGACTTTCAAATACAAGACTCAAGAGAAACATGAAAAGGTAAACAGGAAAGAGAAATCATAAGGGATTTATTAAAGTTGAACTGCTTACATTCCTATATGGAAATATGATATTTGTAACTCATGAGACATGTACATATATATATATATATACATATACATGTATATATGTAGACAGAGGGCACAGGGTGAGTTGAATATGAAGGGATGATATCTAAAAAATAAAATTAAGGGGTGAGAGAAGATTGTACTGGGAGAAAGAGAAAGGGAGAGGTAGAATGGGGTAAATTATCTCACATAAAACAGACCAAAAAAGGCTTTTACAGTGGAGGGGAAATGGGGGAAGGTGAAAGGGAATGAGTGAATCTTATTCTCATTTGGGTATGGAAATCTATCTTACCCTACAGGAAAAAGAAGGGGAAAGGATAAGAGATGGGGGGATGATAGAAGGAAGAGCAGATTGGGGGAGGGGGTAATCAGAAGAAAACACTTTTGTGGATGGACAGGGTCAAACGAGAGAATAGAAAAAATGGAGGGGGCAAGATAGGATGGAAAGAAATATAGTTAGTCTTTCACAACATGACTATTATGGAAATGTTTTGCATGACTACACATGTATAACTTATATTGAATTGCTTGCCTTCTCAATGAAGGTGGGTAGGGAAGGAGGAAGGGAGATAATTTGGAATTCAAAGATTTAAAAACAAATGTTAAAAATTGTTTTTACATGTAACTTGGAAATAAGATATACAGGCAAAGGGGTATAGAAATCTATCCTGCCTTACAGGAAAATTGAAGGGGAAGGGATAGGAGAAGGGGCGGGGAGATAGAAGGGAGGACAGATTTGGGGAAGGAATATTCAGAATGAATGCCATCTTGGGATGAGGGTAAGGGAGAGACGGGGAGAAAATTTGGAACTCAAAATCCTGTGGAAGTGAGTGTTGAAAACTAAAAAGTAAATTAATTAATTAAAAGGAAAAAGAAAAAAAAAAAGACCAGGACCTACAAAGAGCAAACTACAAGGGAAGGTGAAAGCATTTCTGTTCTCAGAGGAGAGTCTCAAAGCAAAATAGGAGGGGCAGTAGTTGGGCTCAGTCCTGGCAACTAACAAAATCCCCCTAGGGCTTCTTCTCCTCCCTAACAAATTCTTCCCAAGAAGACCCAAGTGAGAGAAATTAATATTTTGCTATTATATTAACTACCAGTTACTAAATTTGGATGCAGGTTTTTTTCTCCTTTATTTCCTCATGTAGGGTCCAGGCCCTGTAGCAGGTCAGTCAGTGTCTGAAGGATATGGCTGGCTGATGAGATGATTTCTAACCCTCAGAAACATACTCCTCAATCTTGGGCCAGACCCCACCCAACCAGGGTAGGGGAGAGTGTGAACAGAATCCCGTCTGGGTGAGTTCTTGCCCCAAGAGAACAGCCCTGTCCTTATGCCCCCCATAAGAATTTAGGGTGACCCAGCTCATGAAGGAGAAAACCAACCATAGTGGTCTGGGTGGAGATGGATTCCCCTGTCCAGAGTGTTGGAGGTGACTGAATTCTCAGCAGGAGGAGCTGAATATTTCTAGCCCACCTCCTCATTAAATGTCCACCAATCAGGGTTGATTTCTTCTGTCAGGAGCATTCAGTGTCTCCACCGGGTGTCTTTGAATTTCCAAGAGAAACCACTGACCATCAATTTGTTTATTATTAGTTAGCATGATTAATAAATTGATTGTTAATTGCCCAGAAACTTTGTCTCTCAGGTTTTTTATTCATTACACAAGAACACAAAACCAGGCACAAGGGGGAGGAGGGGATTGGCGAGAAGCAAATTTAGGTTTGATTGGAAGAAAAATTTCCTTCAAACAGAGCTGTCCAAAATCCAAATGAGCTGCCACAGGACAAGGAGGGCTTCCCTCCTTGGATATCTTTTAGGACTGCTGGGGTGTGTGACAGAAGAGAGCTGACTGCTGGGGTGCCTGAACCTTTCAGATGCCATTGTGATTTGAAACTCAATCCAACTTAATAGGGGATGAATAAATGTTTGCTGACCCAAAGAGATCGGAAAGGGGGAAAGTACCCACACACGGCCAAATATCCATAGCAGATCTTTTGGCTGTATCAAAAGCTGGAAACCAAGTCAGAGCCCATCGAAAGGTGAACAGGGGAAGGAAAAGAGGAGAGAGAAGATAAACATTTATATAGCATGGACTGTATGCCAGGCACTGTACTAAACACTTTACAAATATTATATAATTTTATCCCTCAAAACAACCTGGGAAGTAGGTTCTGTTATTATCCCCATTTAATAGTAAGGAAATTGAGGCAGACAGAGGTTAAGTGACTTGCCCAGAGTCACACAGTTAGAATGTAAATGAGTCTTCCTGACCCAGCACTCTGTCCAATGGGTCACCTACCTGCCCCTAATAGCTGAATAAAATATGCTCAGTGAATGAAATGGAATATTATCGTACCCTAAAAAACAATTAGGAATAGGAGAGATTCAGAGAGACCTGGAAAGATTTGTATGAATTGAAGCAGAGTGAAATGAGCAGAACCAAGAGGACAATTCCTACAGTGACTGCAACAGCTGGGACTTCAGCACTCTGGCCAGAGCATGTCCAGACAAGACTAATGTGTGAAGTTGTGTTGACTAATTAATTTCTAGCAGGGAGCTTTAAAAAGTGGGGGAAGACAAAAAATGTGTCTAGAATGCTAGAGATGTTAAAAAAAAGAATAAAACACAGAGAAGAGATTAAATACAAGTTTAAAAGGGGCAATGACAGGCATGGCAATGTTGTTAGTACTGTATTAAATTTAATATATTTTTAAAAGAAATAATTTCTACATAATAGTGATTGATGGATTCAGATACAAACTTCTTCTGCTGCTCTGTGTCAGTGGAAATGTTCTTGTTTGAAGATGTTTGTCAAATCTGTGGACTGATTACACTTACCCAGGACGGCTTGCTCCAGGGCACTGGGGCTATTCCCTCTTGTTCCATGCTCCACTCTTGGGCCAGGTCCGAATACTCAGCAGGATGAGCTGCGGAAGAATGATCCTTGAGAGGAAGGGGTCTTTCCTTTGCCCTGCAAGAGAGGAGGCTGGCCATCCCCACAAGGACCTGTGGAGGGGAAGGTCTCAAGGAGGGTGAGAGACCCTGGTCCTGCCTTCCTCAGGGGAAACACTCAAGCCAAAAGATAAGAGCACAGTCAGGGTCAGGTTTGGCAACTAAGAAATTCTGAAAATAAACAATACTCTACATTCTGCTCTCCTTTCCACCCCAAATTCCCCCCTTAGAAGACTCAAGGGGCAAAAGGGGCTTTGGTGTCCCTGCTGGGCTAATTCCAGGCAGTTCCTGGAGTTCTTCTGAATCAGACCTCTCCCTGCACTCCCTCCTTCATCCTTCACCTCCACACACTCTCTAGACACCTGACTGCTTGAGCTGGCAGGGATCGAGGCCAGTTGTTGGACCGGCAGAACGGGGATTGTCCAGGGGAAGGCTGGAGCTGAGGGACAGAATCCCTATGGGGATAAGACAACCTGAGGGAAGGGGGATCTCAGGGTCCTGGGTCTGGGGAACGGAGGGAGCCTCAGGAGAGCACAGAGTTAGGAGAGGGTCCAAGATGAGTGAGAGGCTAGAAGAGAATCCCTAAATTCTGGCCAGGCAGTTGAGAACTGGGAAAGAATCGGAGACAGGGAGGGGCCGGGGGCCTGGGTAAGACAGGGTTTGGGGAGCAAGACCCCCTCCTCCAGCCTTGTAACAGAGCTGAGGGGTGGGGCTGGAATCCTGGAATCCTGAAATCCCAGAATCCCGGAGGGGAGCGAGGATGCTGAGGGCCCTGGCGTCGGGGATGGAAAAGGGGAGGGGTCTCTTTTTCTGATTCCCATATATATCAAGTGCCCGGGGGTGGGCATGAGCCCCAAGCCCACCTCCACTCCCCTGGGCTCCCGAGACGTTCCCCTGCTCGGACCAGGCAGGACCAGGATGCACCACTGCGGGTCCGTCTCCCTAGCCCGGGGTGCACTGCCCACTGCCGCCGCCGCTGCCCTGGACCGCTGCCACCGCTGCTGCAGCTGCTGCTGCTGCCTCGGCCGCCACCGCAGCCTCGTGAGCAGGGGGAGGACCCTCCTGGGCGGAGAGGACGCGGTGACGTCACTGGCGTAAGGCTCAGCAGGGGTCGGGGTGGGCCCCAAAAGCAGCGGCAGGAAGGCTGCCCAGGGTTTCGGGCTGGGGGCGGGGGCGGGGGCGGAGGCGGCCGCCGCGCGCTGGCACGGGAGCCTTGGAGGGTGTGCGGAGCCTCGCCACCCAAGCCCCGAGATCGTCCCGGGCTCGTCCGCGGGTGCCCAAAGCCGCCCTGCCCAGGCTGGCCTGGGCCGGGACTGAAGGTCCAGAAGGACCCCTGACTGTCCCCGAGCAGTGTCTAGACCGCACGCTGCAGCCCCGCACTTCGAGACCCCAGCACAAAGACGGGGAGGCGCCGGGTCATGCCCGCTCGGTACCCGCAGCTCCACGGCAGAGGATGCTGCCAACTGAGTAGCGCACCCCACGAGAGCCACGCCTGCCTCGGGACCTGGGTTTGGACGCCCCAAAAGAAGGGGGTCTCCGTGCATGATGTGAGATGCGCCCAACTCACCCCAACTTATACAACTTCCGAAGATCTGGGACCGAAACCAGGGATGTGATGACCCAGGCCCTTAGAGGAAGAGGCAGTTCTGTTGAGAAACTTGGGCATTCTAGCGACTGATGGAAAGCTAACCTTTACCAAGTCGTTGAGAGGTTGGACAACTTGTCTGGTTACAAAATAGCTCCAGAGAATGGAGGGGACCCTTTCGGCACTAGGCACTTTGATCACCTTTTGTCCACAGGAGAGTTTAGACTTTCTAATGTGCAGTTACCGAAAAACAATGGACGTTAACTTACTTCAGTAAAGTCTGAGAAAAAGAGACCATCCTCCAGTCGTACTGACCCCGAGATGGGCACTGAGAGTGATGCCTCCAGCGAAAGAGAGTGTGTGTGTCATTACAGAAGTCAAATAGGGAGTTCTTTCCTAGGTAAGTTTTGTTGGAATTTAATGAAAACTGAGATATTGAATTCAGTTCTGTCGGGTTCTGCCTTGTCTAGCCTATTCCATTGATCTAATTTTCTTTGTTTTTTATCAATAGAAAATGGTTTCAATGATGGCGGCTTTATAATAAAGTTTAGGGTCCAGAAGTGCCATGCCACCTTCATTCCTACCGTTTTGTCATCAGTTACCTTGAAATCCCAGACCTTTTGTTCTTCACGATTAATTTTGTCTTTTGTTTAGCTCTGTAAAGTATCCTTGTGTTAGTTTCACTGGTATAACACTAAATTTCTACATTAACTCTCAGTCAAATTTTTATCTTTATTATATTTGGTATGACCCAGCTACGATCACTAAATTGTTCCCCAGCTCAGATATTGTTTGTCTGTTGTTGTGTTGTTTTTTTCTTTTTCAGGAATATTTTGTAATTTTATCTATAAAGATTCTGAGTGTATGTAGGTGGATTGACTCCCAGATATTTTAGGCATTTTGTGGTTCAAAAATCTCTAAGAGTTGCACATTCTCCTTTTATCTTTCTCTTAGATTCTGAGTGAGGAACACTGTGGCCTCTTATTTATTGTAGCACCAACCTTGCTGGGTTGTTGTGAAATCTGTTGACATAATGTTTCTTCACTCAATTGTAAGCTCCTAGAGGGTAGGGATTGTCTTTGGCCTCTTTTCGTATCCCACTTGCTTAGCACAGTACCTGGCCTCTTGTAAGTGTTTATTGCCTGACTGATAATGGGTGTAAAGTGCTTTGTAAATCTTCAAGTGCGGTACAAATGCTATTACTATATTTTTTCAGTTCAGTTAATTTTTTCTTTATGAATATATGCTATACCATTTGGTACATATAAGTTTAATCTAGATGTTAGAGTTTTTTTGTCTGTAGTTCCTTTAAGTTTCTTGTTTATTTCTATAGAAAATGTGAAATCTCATGTGTTTCCTTTATCTGGTAACATAATCGCAACTCCTGTTTTGGGAGATTCACCTAGATGCACAGTCAATTTTCTACCAATCTCTCATTTTTATTCTATATATGACTATGTATGACTTTGATTTTTAGATGTGTTTCTGCTGAGAAGCATTTTTTTTTGTTGTTTTCTCATCCACCATTCCATTTACAATGAAAGTTATGAGGATTTGGCTTTTATTTTCATCCATTTGTCTCTCCGGTATTACGTATCCATTTTGGGGAAATGTCCAGATCAATTATCCTTAATACCCTGGACTTTGCCAATGCCCAGGACTAGATACGTTTCCCTACCTCAACCCACTGTTGTGGTTCCTTTTATATGTTATCTTCATCCATTAGCATGTAAGCATCTTTAGAACACAGACTATCTTTTTGTTTGTTTTTGTATCCCCAATGTTTATCAAGGTTCCTGGCACAAAATAAATGCTCGTTAAAAAAAAAAGTGCATGTTGACCTGTTGCCTTAACTTTGTTTTTTCCTCTTTTGAGGCGGTTCCTCCTCTCTATCTTTAGGAACAGTAATTTGCTCAAATTACTTTTATGCAATGCTGTTCTCCCAGCACCACTTCCCTCCCCCCTTCATCATGATTGTTAATCCTTTCTCTAGTTTGGGATTGTTTTTTACCAAGATTATTGATTTCTTTTTATGTATTTCATCATCTCTGTTTCCTCACTCTTTTCTATCCTTCTTCCTCAGTTAAAGGGTTTGTTTAAAACCCTCCCCTTCTCTGATCCTCATCCATTTCTTTTCTCAGTCTTTTTATATGGGCCTTTTTCTAAGAATTTTGCTTAATTATCATCTTAATCTCTCCCTTCCATTATCCTGAACTTTATTCTCTGATTCTTGGTCTAGATCCTTATTGTTCCCTTCCTTAAACTCGTTCTGTTCCTCCTGGGTTAAAGCTTCTCAACTAGGAAATATGAGCTCCCTCTTCTAAGTAGTTTCTATGTTAATTGTCTTTACAGATCTTGCCTCATCTTCCCTTTCTACTGTTGTACCATACTCCTGGAAGTATCAATTCATGAGGGCAGAAATGGTGACAGAAGTAGTGCCCCGGTGGAAATTACCCTGTGTCTCCAACCGTGTTATCTTATTCTAACCCTTGCCCTTCCCATGATATTTCTCTTTCCCATGACTCTCCTTTTTCTACTTCTGGGTGCCTACTTGCATTTCCCTCCTTTCAACAGAGGATGATATCCAAGGAGACAACACTCTCCCCTTCTAGTATACCAATTCCCCTCAAATTAAACCCATCATAATGTCCCTGTCTTCCAGTAAAGACATCCACTTCATCTCCAAGGAGTGTTCTTCAGTGGTACGCCTCCCCATTGTGCTGAGGCCTCTCTTTCATTCTTCCAGTATCAATCTCTCCCTTCTGTCTCCTTTCCTATTTCCTACAGGCACTCTTCATGATGAGCTGTCAATCAATGTCATATGTGGTCTGGAAGTTGTCAATCTTTTGCTCTTCACCCATGGATTGGTTCTCTTCTCTCTTAGTTTGTGCACTCTCCCACCCTGTACTTTTGCACCACAAAATGTATTGATTCACAGGGTGAAGGGATTGTAGTGTTTAGTCCATGGTTCTGTTCTGCACATTCCTCCAAATTCTCTTCTCCCATTTCTTTAAATTCTACTTTCTTGTCAAATTTTTGTTTCTCTTAATAAACATGTTTAATTTTTTTAACCCAGGTAAGATTTTTCTCTTTCTTTCTAAAAAAAATAATATTGACATTGGGTAATTTCTTTCATTACTTATTTTTTCTTTCCCTGGAAATTAAACCTATATCTTATTTGTTTTGTGGGGAGTATTTGCAGTTATTTTACATTACTCTTTTCACTCCTGTTTTAAAACCTCAAATTCCTTGCTTTTGTTTAATATCCATTTTTTTTTCATTGATGATTAGGCTCAGGTATGCAAGGTGTCTCATTTTGGGTTGTATCTGGAGCCTCCTTTGCTTTTTGGGAAAATAATGTTACATTTCCTTCTGTGATTTATATGGTATGCAGACTGGTATTGTAATATTTGAATTTCCTTTAATTATTTTGAAATTCTTTCTTCTGGCTATTTAGAGAATTTGTTGTTTGTCATTGGAATTGTTAAATTTAGCTACTAATTTATCTTGGAGTTTGAAGCAGAGAATTTTTTTCCCATGGGGACCTGCAGATTCTTGCATAGTTAGAAATCCTGGGGTTTTTTATATTATGGGATTCTGGCTTTTTTTTATTCATCAGATTCTTCTGGGTGACCTACAGTCTTTAAATTGTCTTTGTACATCGTGTCCTTGAGGTCAATGATTTTTACTTTTGGAAGACTGTAGGGTTGGTTTATATATACATACATATATATATATATATATATATATATATATATATATATATTGCCTTTTGCTGCTCTTCTGTGCAATTTTCCTCTACTTTAATCCCCCCCTCTCTCTTTTATTCCAGTTCTCTTATCTTCTCTTTCATGTGTTTGTAGAAATATCATCATTGATTTGGTTGTTTCTAATGTATTCATTTGAGTGCTTTATTTCAATTTTAATCACTATGCACACTGACATTTGTTTATACTTAACTTCTCGTAGATTTCACTTCTCTCTTGAACCATTGATGTTGTTTACTTGTGTCAACCATTTTCCAAAGATTTGGTCCAAAGAAACCAATAAAATCCGTTTACTCCTTAACCAAAGGTTTGTCCTAAGAACAAATAGAATGGGGTTCACCTTACCAAAGGTTCAAACAAAGAACAAACAGAGTCAGGCTGTACATGTGCTATAATGTGCTTATTTATCCTCATTAAGCCAGAGAGTCATGCATGATAGAGTCAGAAAATAATTCTAAATTCAGAGGTAAACAAGCTGAAGGAGACACTTTATACACTTAGAGCAATCCCAACTCAAGATGCCTGTGTCAACCAAAATTATAGTCTCCATATATGTTAACCATAATGTGAGAAAGGGATTTCTTAATGGAATAGGTTGTAGATACAATAACATAAGAAAATGTCAAGGTGTACATTGAAATTATGGATCCAGGATGTCTGTGTTTCTTTTATCATTAACATGACATAATATAATATAAGAAAACCTAAGAAAGGTTGCATTATTCAAGATAGTGTCTGGTTCAAGGTGCCTTGTCCTTGGAAGTCGTAAATAGACTGGTCAGCTTCATCTGGCCTTGTAGTTGCTGACACAGGAAGGGACATGTTGGGTTCACTCAGAGAGCAAAGCAAAGCATGTTTGTTATGCCAGAGCACACAAAGCATTATGGTAGGTTAAGCTCAGAGTGGGCCAAAATGTCTTTCTCCTGATTGGCCAATCCAGGTTTTAGGCCTTTCTCAGGTATTGGGGGGCCCAAAATGCTTTGCAGTGGTTATATAGTCTCTTGGGACTCCACAAGTTTTGTTTTAATCAGTTTAAGACTTCTCTTGGTAGCTCAGGTACCCAAGTAGACCATTCTGTACGTGAAAGGAATTGTTTAACATCAATATTTCTGGATTTTTAATTTAATTAGTTCTTGTTTTTGTTAATTGCTTTTTAGAATTAAGTTTGGGAGAATATTCTACCCCTATGTGATTGATGGTTGGGGAGGGATTTTAGTGGAATTGGAGGCATGAGGAGCATCATTCCTAAGTAATACTGGAAGTGGGATCCTCTGAAGATCTTAGTGCAATGACTGTTTTATTTTGTTTTACTAGAGCAATATTAGAAATTTCAATTTACTGACTAATTTTTACCGATACAGATGATGGTGGAACAATAGTCTTTTCCTAGTTTCTTTCTCTCTTTTCTCCCTCTCTCTCCCTCTTTTCTTTCTTTCTCTCTCTCCTCTTTTCTCTTTTTTTCTTCCCTTTTCTCTCTTCTCTTTCCCACTCCTTTTCTTTTTCTCCCTCCTTTCTCTCTCCTCCTTCCCTCTCTTTTTTCTCTCCCTTCTCCCTTCTTTTTTTCTCTCCTTTCCTCCCTTCTCTCTCTCCTTTCACTCTCTTCTCTCCCTTTCTCTCTCTTCTCCTTTCTTCCTTCTCTCTCTCCCTCCCTCTCCCCCTTCTCTCTCTTTTTTCCCTCCCACTCTCTCTCCTCTGTCTCTTCTTCCCCCCTCTCTCTCTCCTCTCTCCCTCCCTTCTTCTTCTTCTCTTCCCCACTTTTTAGTCCAGTTCAGGCCCATTCACTCTAGACTTTTGCCCTAAACCTACTTGGCCTTTTTGCCTCCAGTCTCTCCCCATTCCATACTACCCCCACTCAACTGCCAAACTGATTTTCCTAGAGCATAAATCAGACCGTGTTAAGTTCTGAATCCATAAACTCCAATAGTTTCCTGTTCTCTTCAGGACCAAATAAAAATTTCTCTGTTTGGTTCTTAAACCCATGGCCCCCATCTACCTTTCTAGCCATTTTCTCTGTCCATCAACACTGTGGTCCTACTAAACTGGCCTTGTTCCTGTTAATAGTATGTTCATTCTCTGGTCTCCTATGCCTCCTAGCTGCCATTTCTCAGAATCCCTCCTTTCCTTCAAGGCTTGGTACAAGAACCACCTTTTATATGAGACCTGTTCTTATGCCCGCAACTACCTGTGCCTTGCCCAAAATCACTGCGTAGCTCTTTGTGGTCTATTTTTTGAGGTCCATGTTATCTCCTCTGGCTACACTCTACACTCCTTGGAGTCAGGAACTGTTTTCCTATTGTCTTTTTTAAAGTTTCTTTTATTTTTCATTTATTTCCTATTGTCTTTTATAGCCTCAGGACCTAGCATAATGCCTGGTACCATTGTGATACTTAATAAATGCTTGTTGATCGCTTAAGGCTTTATAAATTCCTTGATAAATATGATTTGAAGATTCATTGGTTCTAGATTGTGAACCAGAGGCATTCTATATACATTGGTTATTTGGGGATATTGATTGGTGGGAGATGTTATGGTACTGAGGAAATTATTTGGATTGAGGAGTACCATAATGGCTGTTTCTAAGATCCATGTTACCATCTGGAGCTCACCGGTGCTTGTATAGATTTGGACTGGCATTCTTGCAATCCAATGAAGAAGAAGAATTCCTTTTTACTTTAAACTGGAAAGATGATAACTTCACAAGTATGTCATTTGTCTGCATTCCTTCAGGTTGAACGCCATAACGCTCTCCCAACAACCTCATAATCAGGAAACTCATCATTCTCTGAGATTGCACCAGCCTTCCTACTCAAGCCTCAACAGTGCTCTCTGATCTTTTAACTTCTTTTTGTGTATTGTTTTCCCCCATAACACTATAAGCTTTTTTTTTTTTGGCAAGGCAATGGGAGTAAGTGACTTCCCCAGAGTCACACATCTGTCTGAGGCCAGATTTGAACTCAGGTCCTCCTGAATCCAGGTCCGGTGCTCTATCCGCTGTGCCACCTAGCTGCCCCAACACTATAAGCTTCTTGAAGGCAGAAACTGCCCTTGTTTTTAATGTTTGCTTCCTTAGTGCTTAACATGGTGCCTGGCGTATAGTAGGCACTTAATGTTTATTGATGGGCTACAGATGACAATGCCAGGAGAAGATCGCTGTGATAGGACCCAGACTCCCTGCTGCCTCAAAGTAGGAATTAGTTTTCCCTAAAAGGGTCAACGCTGTCCCTGGGACTTGATTGACCACTCACTACCTCTTTTAAAGTAGCTTCCTAATCATCCAAGGGAACAAAAATTCCCATCCTCCTGGAATTTGGGCATGTCCAACCTGGGACGTTTCTGAAGGTAGGGATTCTAGAAAGTGTGGTCTCCACAGAGATGTGTGATGGCAAGTGACATTAGTGCCAAGAAAAGATCCCCATGAGTGAGGCTGCTCCGAAAGAAAACGAGGACCTGATCACGTATCTAAATAAACTGAGGAAAAGGTTTTGATCAGTGACAAAATAAATATAAAGGGATGTTCATACCTTAAAGCACTACAGAGAGGTGAGCTCTTATTTTCATCACAGGGTAATTTTAGAATAGCTGTAGCCATAATCTATTTGAATAATCAGATTTAGAATACTGTTAATACTAAAGGTTTTGTTTCGTAGTAAATTGATGTGACACACTAGGAAAAAAAACAGTAGAGTTTCTTCCTACAGAATGCCAATGATTTGAAAAGGCTTTTTATGTTATTTTTTCATTGGCTTCTAATACTGCATATCTGATTAGGAGTTGTGTGTAGCTTTAGGATCACGAACAGTTTCATTTGTTTTTCAGTCACGTCCAACTCTTTGTAGCCTTATGTGGGGTTTTCATTGCAGAGATACTGAGGTGGTTTGCCATTTCCTTCTCCAGCACATTTTACAGATGAGGAAACTCAGGGTGAAGTGACTTGCCCAGGGTCACACAGCTAGTAAGGTCTGAGGCCAGATTTGAACTCACAAATATGAGTCTTCCTGACTGCACCACCTACCTACCTGGCTTTTTTCACTGTCATCTCACACTTGGAGCATTCCTACAATACTCCCCAAGGGTTTCTCAGTTCTGCTTTCCACCTGTTCGAGGGGAGAAGGGTTCTAGAGTGAGACACATCACTTCCTTCTGAATTCCCTTGATAGACTTCCAATGTGAACACGAGGCTAGGGCCAGAACACTGCCAAGCTTGACCAAATTCTCAGAGACAAGTTGAGTGAAACACCCCACCGCTGTGCTGACCCCTCGCCAACCTTAACCTTCTCTTCAACTGCTTTCATTTGGGAACCTCCTGTTTCTCCACCTGGACTCCCCTAATCATTGGTGTATTCCATCATTTTCTACTGTCCTCATTCTTGTGAAACTGAACCCTAACTGTGTAAAAGAAGTCCCTTTGCCAAAATCGGTTATGTGCTCCCTCATTCTCATCCCCTTCAGTCCTACCTCCCCAGATGTCACACGCCAGACCTGCCTGCCCCTTCCACTGTGCTTTCTGGAATTCCTGATCCAAAATGAACAGACTTCCTTTCATGTGAAATCTCTTCCGTTCACACTTCTTTCCTTTTTATAACACTTGCTGAGGCCAGGATCCTTTCTACTGTTGATATTTCTTTTCCTACTTCTTATATTAATGGCTACACTTTCCCTTATACCCCAAAGTATAAGAATGAAAGTAATGTCCAACAAGGCTGGAAAGTCAAGTTAGAACTAAGTCTTAAAGGACTTTAAAAGCTGAAGAGGGGGATTTCTATTTAATCTAGAAGACAAGAGGAAATCACTGGAGTTGGTTTTGCATTGGGGATTCACGTTGTCAAGTGTGTGTTAAAGGAAAAAATTTCAGTAGTGCTTGCCCAGACCACTGTGTCTCCTGCTTCCTCTTCTCCTTCTCATCCTCCTCTGCTTCACCTCCAATGCAAGGAGCCAGGCACCCTGCCTTCCCAGCTCCCACTTTGGCTACACATGCCCAAGCTTCCTTGCCCTACCCCCACAGCTTTTTTTCAGTGTTCCAGATAACCTTGCCTCCCAGACTCTACCTATCTCCCCTTACACAGGTCTCCTGCTCCCCTGGCCCCACTTCTTTAATAGCCCTCAAACCCTCTGCCAGAACCCAGGGTTTCTTTTCCAGCCTCTCCTTTACCTCAGACCCTCTCATAATCCTGGGCATTCCCTGGATACCATTCCTGTTCCAGATCCAGTAGTCTGAACTCCCCCTCACTCCCAGGCACAGCCTTGCCATGGCTATTCCCAGGCCTCCATCTTCAGCCTTCTCAAGCCTCCTTACCTCCTAGATTCAGAAGTCAGAAGTCACATAGCTTGTGAGGGAGAAGAGGAAGAGAATACAGTGGAAAGAGGTCTGTTACTAAAGGATTCTACAAAGGTCTGGCTGATCTCAACCCATCAGGGACACCAAGCCCCTTCCTGCCAAAGGAGAATGGGGGGAGTGGCAGAGGAAGTAAAATCTTGATTTTCTTAAGACCCTCTAATTTTTCAAGCCTGATCCTAACGTCCCCATACCTCCTTTAGTTTGAGTCTCTTCCCTGGGGGCCGTTCTTACCCTCGTGGCCACCCTGCTCTTTGATGGTCCTTCTGATGATGACCAGCCTCTTGCCTGGGAGGGGGAAGGCAAGACTCCTCCCCCTCAGGCACCTTTCTGTCTCCACAGCTCAGCTCACTGAAGATCCAGGCCTGGCCCTAGAGGAGAGCATGGAGCCACAAGCAATGTCTCCTGGCAACCAGAAGACCCCATCCCAGGTAAGTGCCAACAGTTCATACACTTGACAAACATTAGAAAACATGAACATTTCTACCGACACAGAACATCAAAAGAGGATTGTACATGAAGCCATCAAAGAGAAAACAGCCTCTGTTACATAGAAATCTGGGTGGATTTTGTTTAGCCCATTTCTAAAACTAACCTCTGTATCCTTACCCTCCCTTTTTTCTTTAAGGCTTTCTCTTTTAGAAAGTAATTGTAGTCAAGCAAAATGACTTCACACCTTAGTCTTGTCTGGTCATACTCTGAGTCAAGCTGAAGTCTTTCCCAGGTGGTTTCCTTTACTATGTAGTTACTGTACTCTATGAGCAAAGCAGAATCTCAGTAGCACATAGGAAATACAAGATGCTCTAATCTAGAGGCATCACTATCCCAAATGTTCAAAGGGCCTACTGGTGCTCAACCTGTGGTAGAGTCTTCCAAGCTCAGCCACAGTCAAACACACTGTACCTTTTCCCCAACGTCGTGATGTCATCGGTCCTCTTGGAGTATGAAAGATGAACAACGTTATTGTAGGAATTGTCCTTAAAGTCCTGTCAATGTCACCTTGCCTCACCTCATCTACCTGAAGGGATGAACATTCCCTTGATCTAGCCATCACTGACCTCCATCTTCAAGAATTTTGTGATTCCTGTAAGCACTCACAATCATTTCCCATTCCCTTTCTCCATATGCCTTACTATTCCTAACACTGTGTTTCACCCTCACCATGAGTAAGCTTCATTCAGTCCTTCTCTTGCTAATCATTTTCCCAGACCATCACCCTTGCTTTGACTATGCTTCACTCCTTTCCCGGGATTAATCTCTTGTTAAACCAGTTCAACTCCACACTCTCCTCCTCTTTCGGATCTCTTGTTCCCTTGTCTTCCCACCAGTCAAACTTTATAAAACTCTAACCATGGATTATCCCAGTCTTGCATCTCCAGCTGCTTATTGGACATCTTGAACTAGATGTTGTACTGACATGTGAAACTCGGACATGTCCAAGACTGAACCCATTACTTTTCCCCTCATCCTAACTTCCCTATCACTGTCAAGGATGCCACCATCCTCCCAGACGCCCAGGCTTGAAACCTAGGAGTCATTCCTTACTCCTTACTTTCTCTTACCTCCCACAACCCCCATATCCAGTGAGTTGCCAAGTCCTGTGCATTCTACCTTTGTTTCATCTCTTGTATATGTCTCCTTGGCGTAGGTCCTCGTCACCTTACACCTGGACTACTGAAATAGCCTTCTTATTGGTTTTCCTGTTTCAAGCCTCCCCACTCCAGTCCATCCTCTACTCAGCTGATTTTCCAAAAGTGCACATTTGACTATTTCATACCCCTGTCCAACAAACTACCACCCATCCCTGGTGCCCTTCCTGTTTGGAGAGGTCCAAGGTGGACATCTGGAGCTTACTGCTGATTCTCCACCATTTAAGGAGAGCACCCAGGGAATTCTTCTTATCATTTCCTACCTAGTTGCATTCTTGGGTTTCATTATCTCCAGAAACTCATTCTGCAAGATGAAATAAATTTTGAAACTCTCACATCCTCAGATCATTTACTACCCCAGCTATAGGACTATAATTTCTTTGAAGCCAGGGACTACCTTTTACCCTCTTTTGTTTCCAACACTTAGTACAGTATCAAGCACATAGGAGACACTTAATAAATGTTTAGTGACTCTAACTTTATTAAATCTAAAATTAAATATAAGCTACTATGTTTGACTTTGTAATCCCTCCATGACCTACCACCTTCCTACTTTTCCAGTCTTATTAAATCTTACTCACTGTAGTCAAACTTCCTCTCTACTGATTTCTTTCCTTCTGTCTAAAAGAGACTTACCCTCATCTTTCATTAGATTTCTTGATCGTTGTTTGGTCTGTTTTGAATTTCAGGTTTTTGCTAGAGTATATATATATGGAAACTGGATGGTCTGCATCTCTTTGGACCACCATCTTGTCTGGAAGTCCCCACAAGATGAGGTCTTAATCAAATAAGGAATAGAATCAATTATAAAAGATCAAACACAAAAGATAAGATTGTTTTGATTACATGAAATGGAGAAGTCTCCACATGGACAAAACTTAAGCATCTAGGATTAGAAGGGAAATGATTGACTGGGAAATGAATCTTTGCATCAGATTGCTTGAATAAAGGATTAGTATGGAAATTAAACGAGCAGTTAACAGAAATATATAAGACCAAAAAACATTCCTAAAAGTTTTATAGTCAAATGATAAAAGCAAACAGATCTCAGAATTTGAAAGTATTAGCAAGATTGCTCTAAAAGACTGTGAAATGTAGGTTCTGAGGTCAATCTCTCAGGGCCAGGCTTCCCACATCTCCTTCTTTAGGGTCTCAGGTACCCCAAGGGGTCTGAGGTGGAGTATCTCTCCTTTCTACCACTGATTCAAAGCCCCACTAGCTCTGTTCTCATTTATTAGTTTCCAGTTTTTTTAAATCACTTAACATCAATAAGCTTTTTCAAACAGATTGTTCCCTCAAAAATACAACAAGAACAAAGGCAAAAGCATGACTCCCAACACCTCAAGGTCATCCTTTGCTCTATGCCACTGTAGTCTCTGGGGGAGTAGGCTCAAAACTTAGCTCAGTTCCTATATAGCATTGATCCTACCAAGTTTATTTCTAGATCTAGCCCCTTAACTGGATAAATCTTTGTTCTGCACTCGAGTTTTTGTTTTGTTTACAGAATAAGATGTACCTGCCAAGTCCTCATAAATTCATCATCCAATTCTATTTATAAGATTTCATTATAACACATCACTTAGAAGAGTTTGATTGAGGAAGAATTTTCATAATGTCTTCATTCCCTCTGTCTTCTCTACAAATCCTCATAGATTACAAATAAAACACTTATTCTTCCTAACTCCGTATGGACAGACATTTCACACTTTTCAGTAAGACGTTTCTCACCTGCCTTCCAGTTGCCAATATAAACTGTTTTTCCTAATATTCCATTTGGCCATTGAGGTTAGGATTTCACATGTTGGTTCTGACACTTACTAAGAGTGTGACCTTTGGGAAAGTCTGTCACCTTCTTTAACCTCGTTTTCCCACTTTATAAAGTGCAAACACTAAATGACTTGTAAAGTGTCTTCCTGCTCTAAGTACTATGACTTTTATTGTTTCAGCCGTCAGTGACATATAAGGATGTGGCTGTGGACTTCACCCAAGAGGAGTGGTACCTCCTGGACCCTTCTCAGAAGGCTCTCTACAGGGATGTCATGCTGGAGACATCCCAGCACTTGCTCTCTCTAGGTAAAGACAGCTTGCGCTTCTACCCAAACCTTCCCCCAGTGATTCTAAATTGGCCAATGAAAGGAGCACCTTTGCTCCCTCCCTTCGTACCTATTATCCAGTGTTTGAAGTATCACACATTTAACCATTAATAGAGACCAAAGACTCCTAGTCCCTTCCTATCCAAGAGACAGGGTCTTCATCCTTCCTGTTCTCACATCAAAAGTCCTTGCACTGTCTAATAGGAAACTAGGAATTGTATTTGTTATTCTTTAAGCTATGCCTTCCTAATTCTAGGGATTTTTGAAATGAAATATGAAATCAGAATGATGTTCACTAAACATGGGCATCCAGCTTTTCTTTGAAAATGTACAATGAGAAGAACCCCCTAACTCCTGAGGCACCTTTGGGATGTGTATTATCCTTAGGAATTTCTCGCTGATATCAAGTTTAAATTTGTATCCCACTGCTACCGGTCCTACTCTTAGAGACCCAGCCCATCAAACCTATCTTTTTTTTCTATCTTGATAACTTCCACAAAATTCCAATGCATAGGCTAGACAATATGAAAGATTCATATCCTTGTGGGAGGGAGATGGACAAAGTACCAATTTTCTGATTCCAGATTGACTCCATTTTCTTCCTTCCCTCTCAGAGCTCCTAACATCAACATATAGACCATACCTAAGGGGGTTAGGTACCCTCTTTTGACCCTTCTAAGCATGCCCCCTTCTCTGAAGAAGACCAAATTCTAAGGTTCTCTATGTGCTTAACCTTTCTTTATTTACCATGAGTAGGGCTTCCAGTTCCCAAGGTAGAACTGATTTCCCATTTGGACCGAGGGGAAGCACCATGGTTGTTGGAAGAAGAATACCAAAGGAAATCCTGTCTAGGTGAGTGAGTGACACTAGGTACTGTTATCTCAGAAAGTCATCACCAGGAAATACTGTGCAGAGAACTCTCCTCAAAGCCCCCAAGATCATTCAAAAGAGACTAAGGCTGTCTACTCTGAGCCTTTCTTCATCAACAAATGTCATTTTCCTGATCTTTGTTCCTTAATGTTTGCCTGCATTCTTGAAGAAAGAGGGGTCCGCAGTATGACACAGAGGTTTTTCTTTTTCCATTCTTGATGGCCTCCACTTGCTTCACCTGATTGTTCATTGATTGGACAAATAATTCATTGCCTATTAGGGTCTAAGACACTGCCCAAAGCTCTAAGATTAACTCAAGGGACATAAACAAGGAACTGGGGCACATAGACAACATGAACAAGAGCTGGGGAGCAAGGAACAAGAGATGTTCACTGCCCTCTAGGGTTTGCAAAACACATTGAAAGTGTGAGATGTAGGTTTGGAATAACACATGCTGCCTTCTGTGACTGGGTCATCTCTTTGGCACATTGAGGCAATACTTCTGGAACAGATGAAAAACCAAAAGAACAGTGGATCAAATCTGACAAGACAGAATTAATTTGGGCTGCATATGGTGTAACATTTAAGTGTGACAAATCACCTGCATAGCTATAAGCAGGGAGAGACTCATGGGTAGAAGTTACCATGGGTATAGTTACCGTAAGGAAAATTACCATACTAGGGAGCTGATAGACCCACTGTACTCTGAAGAGGCCAGACCACACTTTTAGCAGTGTGTTCAGTTTGAGGCATTTACATTATGAAAGATATTGACAAACCCAGAACAGAGTTATACAGGATGGGCGGGGATGGTGGACTCTGATCAACCCATTGGATGTGATGGCAGAGCCATTGAAGTGTAACTGCTGAAGTATGGTATGAGCAAATGAATGATTGACTGACCAATTTAATGGATGAATAAAACCTACTCATTAAGCACTTTATAGTATGGAAAATATTGTGCTAATTTCCAGGGATACCAATAGAAAAGCAAGAGAGTCTCTAATACCATGGAGCCCACATTCTAATAGGGGAGAGAACCCCCAAAAATCTCAGGTTCATATCACACAGAGATGTCTTTGGTGTGTGGCGTTAAACTTGATGGTAAAGCACATTCTTTAATGTTCTGTTTACTCTAAAGCACCATTTGAGAATGCCAGGGAATTTCATCGTGAAAACTCTCTTTTCAGGGTCTTCAGTATTTAGGGCTACTGAGAAGGCAGGGGTGCAAAATCTGAGGAAACAGTTACTGGGTTGCTTCTCTCTAAAGGTAGCTTCTCAAGATGCTGCCTGCACAGATCTCTGACAGTTTCTTAGTGGGAGTTGAAGGAAATATATCCACATACCAAGTTAACTGAGCCCCTTTACAAAAATTAACCATGGTAGTGACTAAAAAAAACCCTCATAGACACACGCAAAAATATTAATTCTATCCCTCACCAACCAGCACACAGTAAAAATTCTAACCAACGATGGGAATTTAGAGAAAGGCTTCATACTCAAAGGTCTAGAAGCCATGCAGTGCTGTTGTAGGACCTCTTGACAAGCTGGCACAAGATGGGAGCTCAGATTCTACCTCTTCCCTTATACACAGTTTGATTTTGGTGCTGTCACTGAAGCAATATGGTCACTTTCATGAGCTGTGTAGTGTAATAAAAATGTCTACCTTGCCCATGTCACTGACTTGGAAAAGGATCTGGTAACCTCTTTGGAAAGGAATTACTTTTCCAATGTGAGATAATGACATTTTATCACCATTGATTCCCACTTGTCATGTTTGAAGATTATTCTTTTGGATTGACATCTAATGAATGAAATGTCATTTTTTCAGTGCTTATAATGTGCCAAGAACTATGTTAAGGACTAGGGATCCAAATAGAAGAAGCTGATCATTTCCTAATTTTAATGTTCTCCCACTGTAGTTGAGGAAAATAACAGAAGGTTTTTCGGTGACAGTTTGGGTGGAAAAGCCCATCAGAGACGGTGGCAAAGACCTGGATACTTCAGTAGGTCAGATGACAATACTTAGCAGTCTAGTGGTCACAGAATCAGGGCAGAGGGTAAGGACTGGAGGTCTTGGGAAGCAGTGATATTGCTTCTAGTAAGACCTAATGATCCTCCATCTCTTGAGAAGAAATAGGGTCGGTAATTCTCAGGTAACCACGTGAATAGTCATTCAGTTTTGAAGTATTGTAAGTATCCTGGGGAGAGGTTACAGGGAAACCAAAGGGAAGGGCATCACTGGCCTGGTCAGCCAGGATGTGTTTAAGTTCCAGGGTGGGGTGGAAGAAGAAAGGCAAGAGAGAAGGGAGGAGATTGAAGTGACACTAAGTCTAAATCAGCTTTCTTTCTGCTCTTAGAAGTAAGAGGCTCTCTTTCTATCATTTCTTTCCTTCAGATGGGGGAACCATACCTCAGACCAAGGAGCCTTCTCCAAAGCTGAGTATTTCCTGTGATTTCAATTTGAAAGAATCCTGGCATTGTGATATCAAGTTAGAGAAGAGGAAACATAACTGGAGGAGTCATTCCAGACGATTAAAAATGATCCTCAGGAAAACTCCAGGTGAAGAGAGAGATGATGAATATAATAAATGTAAGAGGAATTCAACCCTTTCTGTCCTCCGAGTTCCCATAGGAAAGATCCACCACGAATATGACAACAGTCAGAGGAGCTTCAGACAGTATTCAGACCTAATTCAATGTAAGAAATTCACCTCAGGGAATGGATGTTCCAAATATAGTGAATGTAGGGGCTGCCTTAAAGAGAAGATAGAACTCATTCAGGGTCAGGAGACGCATGTGGGAGTGAAAGTTCGGGATAATCACCGTGAGACAGCTTTCGGTTTGATCCCAGGCTTTATTAGTCATCAGAATAGCCCTGGAGAAATGCCTTCTAAATGTAATGAAGATGGTACAGGCTTCATCCATCACGTGTCTCTTAGTTTGCATCAGAAAGCTCATATTAGAGAGAAATTGCACGAATGTAATCAGTGTGGGAATACCTATTTTCAAAGGGTAGATCTTATAAAAACTCAAAAAATTCACAGGGCAGAAAAGCCTTGTAAATGCAATAAAGTTGGGAAGGCCTTCCCCCAGGGATTACCCCTCATTTCACCTCAGAGGATTCCTTCTGGAGAGAAACCTTACAAATGTAATCATTGTACAAAGGTTTTCAGAAAGCCCTCCCAACTTGCTGTACATCAGAGGATTCACACTGGAGAGAAGCCCTATAAGTGTAATGAATGTGGGAAGGACTTCAGATGGAGAGCAAACTTTATCATACATGAGAGAATTCACACTGGAAAGAAACCTTACATATGTAATCAGTGTGGAAACGTTTTCCAAAAGCCTTGTAACCTTGCTGAACATCTGAAGATTCATACTGGAGAGAAGCCATACAAATGTAATGAATGTGGGAAAGCCTTCATTCAAAGAGCAAAGCTTATTGTACATGAGAGGATCCATACTAGAGAGAAACCTTACAAATGTAATCATTGTGGAAAGGCTTTCAGACAGTCCTCCCATCTTGCTGTGCATCAGATGATTCATACTGGAGAAAAGCCTTATACATGTAATGAATGTGGAAAGGCCTTCAGACAGAGCTCATCCCTTATGGCACATCACAGGATTCATTCTGGAGAGAAGCCCTATGCATGTAATGAATGTGGAAAGGCCTTCAGACAGAGATCATCCCTTATGGCACATCACAGGATTCATTCTGGAGAGAAACCCTTTAAATGTAATGAATGTGAGAAGGCCTTCAGCCAAAAGTCATCCCTTATGGCACATTATAGGATTCATTCTGGAGAGAATCCCTATACATGTAATGAATGTGGGAAATCCTTCAGCTGGAGTGCAAATCTTGTAGCACATCAGAGGATTCACACAGGAGAGAAGCCCTATAAATGTCACGAATGTGGAAAGACCTTTACTCGGAAGTCGTTTCTTACTATGCACGAGAGAATTCATACTGGACTGAAACCTTGTGAGGCTATGTGAAGTGGAAATACTTTTAACTGGAGAGAAGACCTTAAAAGATATCAGAAAATTCATGTTGCTCATGAAGTTATAAGATGTAATGAATTAAATAAAAATTCTTACATTCACCATTTTTTGCTACACAATAATATTCTAGTGTATTCATAGACCATAAATCTTCAGCCATTCCTCGATTGATTGGCAACCTCTTTATCTGATGTTCTGGCTACAACAAAAATTGCTGCTGTTAATATTTTAATATATAGTGGACCTTTTAATCTTAGACCGTGAACAAAAAGCTATGAATATTTTGATTATTTTTCCTGGACAGTTCCTTTAGGTTTTTTTTTTAAATAAAATGTGGGTTTGTTTGTTTTTTTGTTGTTGTTGTTGGTATGTGCTTGACAAAATACCAGCAAATGAGCATTTTCATTTAAAAAAAAGGATTATACATAGAAATATAAATTCCCATTACATAGAACTTTTTGTGGTTTTTGAAGAAATACATTATTTTGTCTTCTGTAATGGCCTCTATCCCTTGTTTGGTTAAGAATACATCTCTTCTCCGTAGCTGTGAGAACTATATGATCTCCTTTTCTAATTTTTTAATGCTATGATGTTAATATTAAGAGTATGTATCCATTAAGAATTTATTGTTGAATAAGGTATAATAATTTGGTGTCAGCCTTCTTTCTAGTTTTCCCAGCAGTTTTTTAATCAAATAGATAGTTATTTATGTTTTCAGATTTATTCAACACTGGGTTCTGTTTATTTCTGATTCTTCCATGTCTAGGCTATTTCACTGATCTACTTCTCTGTTGTTTTTTTAAATCAACACCAAATAATTTTGAAGATGGATGATTTGTGGAGTAATTTGAGGTCTTGATATGTTATTTCCCTCTTCGTCCCTACCTTTTTTTCCACTGTTTTCCTTCGTATTTTAGATCCTTTGTTTCTGCAAATGAATTTTGTTATTTTGTCAAGTCCCTTAAAGTATCTTTTTGATAGTTTAATTGGTATAAGATTAAACCTGGAAATTAACCTTGTTAACATTGTTGTTTTTCTCATATTAGCATGACCCAGCCATTTGCACTAAGCATTTCTCCATCTATTGAATTTATTTTTATTGCTATTCAGTAATGGAAGAGCCACAGTGGGGTATATTGCATATGTTTTCAGATTTTTTTTTATCTGTTTATCAATTTTCCTGATTTCCCCCTTTTTCCTTTTTTTCTTTAAATATATTTGTTAATATCAGATGATTCTTGAAGAAGGGGAGGAATAAAGGGGAAAAATATGGTGTTGTAAAACAAAGCAATAAAATTTATTTTTAAAAAGAAATGTAAAAATGCATATAAAATATTTCTCTAAGGTTGTTCTTTCTTTCTCTTTGTTTTCTCCTGAACCTTCTGTTCTGTCCTGAACTTTTAAAAAAAAAAGCTTCATAGATACTTATTTGTTTAAAAATTTTCATCCTCATTAAATCCTTTCGCCTCCCCAGTAAGAAATCCTCCTACTTCCTACAATTATACAAAGTGCCCAATCTCCTTCTCTCCTGAGCTTTAATGATGTGTCCCATTGTAATCAGGTTAAAATTTTCAGATTTAAGGTCATGTCAGTTGTAAGGTAGGGCAGCTAGGTTGTGCAGTGGATAGAGCGCCACACCTGAAATCAGGAAGACTCATCTTCCTGAGTTCAAATCTGGCCTCAGATACTAGCTGTGTGACCCTGGGCAAGTCACTTTACCCTGTTTGCCTCAGTTTCTTCATCTGTAAAATGAGCTGGAAATAGCAAACTGCTCCAGTATCTCTGCCACAAAAACCTCAAATGGGATTACAAAGAATTGAACGTGACTAAAAAACCACTCAACAGCAACAGCAACAAAGGTGCAAGGTGGGAGTCTGAACTAAGTTTCCACCAAATTGCTAATCAGATTTTCTAAGGAAAAAAAAATGATAGGTTTTCACCTGGGCATTTATGTTCTTGAATTTGTGGCAGTGGGCTCCTATGTTCTCTTATTTCTCTTTCTTGACTAGTTTGTTCCGATGAATTTTATATGAACTGATGCGGCGTGAGATAAGCAGATGCAAGAGAACAACGTATTGCCACAAAGTACATTGAAAAGATCACTAAAGGGGCAGCTAGGGGGCGCAGTGGGTAGAGCACTGGCCCTGAAGTCACAAGGACCTGAGTTCAAATCCAGCCTCAGACCAAATGCTTGACACTTACTAGCTGTGTGACTCTGGGCAAGTCACTTAACCCCAATGGCCTAAAAAAAATTTTTTTTTTAATTTTTAAAAAAGATCACTAAAAGAAAATCGAATTGACCACCTGACAAATCAGCAAAGGTCCCAGGGAATGCTCATGAGAAAAGCTTTCTCCCTTCTCACAAAAGAGGCGGAGGAGTATCAAGACCGAATGCTGGGCCCACCGTCAAATGCAGGCATGATGCTTTTGCTGAACTGATTTTCTTTGCAATAAGAAAGGATTCGGTCGTTAGAGTAGGGAGCAATTTTGTTTTATTTCAACCAGAAATAACACGTAAAGCCAAGATCCAATAAACCATGCTTTTAAAAAAACATGAGGAGAGAAAGGCAGAAGAAGATGTGGTTATCACAGAACAGAATCTCATTCAGCATGGCCCCTGGACTGAACCTTTTTTATTCTATTTTATTTCGATTCCAAATTCTCTCCCTTCTTCCCACCCCTCCGCCAAATGAGAAGGCAAGAAAAATAAAATCCATTACAAATGTATACACAGGTATGCAAAACAAATGTCTCCATTAGCCACGTTCCCCCAGAAACAAAGAAAGGAAGAGAGACAGAGAGAGAAAGAAGAAAGAAAAGAAAAATAGACTTTGTTCTGTGCTCTGAGTTCATCAGTTCGCTTTCTGGAGAGGGATAGCGTGTTTCATCTTGAGTCTTTTAGGGCTGTGCTTGGTCATTGTGTTGATCAGAGTTACTAAGTCGATTATCTTCACAATATTACTGTTACGGTATTAATCGTTCTAGTTGTGCTCACTTCACTTTATATCAGCTCATATAAGTCTTCCTAGGTTTTTCTGAAGCCATCCCCTTCATCGTTTCTTACAGCATAATAGTACTCCATCACATTCATATACCATAAGTAGTTCAGCCATTCCCTGATTGCTGAGCATTTCTTTAGCTTTCAATTTTTTGGCTACCACAGAAAGATCTGTCCTGCCACCAAGGTCTTGCTTAGAACAGGAACAAGGTGCCCAGGCCCTGCCTCTCATGTACCTGGGATGTGAGGAGGCCTTGGTTTATGTAAGAGAGCCTAGGCCCTTTCATCCCTATGAGAACCTGGGGGAAGGAAGCAAGATGCCTAGACCATGTGGGAGAGTCTTGGCCCAAAGCAGAGACACTTTGACCATATGAAGAAGGTGAGGATGGGGCACTGGACAAGAAGTAAAACCCCTTAGTCCCAATGGGGAAGCATGGCCAGTAGTCAAGCCCTGACAGGCATGTTCCTGGAAGCCCTGGGAGAGACTTACCAGAAGGGTCAGTCTAGGATGAGGCAGCAGGAAAGAGAAGCTGTGTTGGGCTAATGTTTGAGTCCAGGCTTGGGATGGGGTCCTTGCTCAGTCCTGACCTGGCCCTAAGGTTCCTACAAGTGAGCCTGTAATCAGCTACTGCTTCCATCCCAGAAGGCTGCCAGGAGGTGTCCAGGACTTAGCTTTCAAAGATTCACTTGCAAGGGAAGAGGAGGCAAGGGCCTCAATGGGCTAGGCACATTTTAGACTGGCTCGTGGGGTGCCAAACACCCCGCCCTACATCTCAGACATGAGACATGAGGATTGGCCCTTTCTGAAAATCCTCTCTTAGCCCCCAACTGGAGGACTTCAGGACCCAGAACCTGCTTCCAGGTGTGGTCCTGCCCTGTCCTATTCAGCCTTGCCTCTAGGTCCTGCCTAGAAAAGAAGCAAGGTGCCCAGTCTCTGACACTTTTGTCGGCATGACTCATAGAGACGTAAGACATCAGCCATGCCTTCTTCTCCATCCTAATCCCTGCCATTGGACCCTAGAGTTCAATGGACGTGGGAATGGCCCCTTTCCCACCTTACTCTCCCAGGCCACAACCTTCCATCCCTGGAGCTTCTTTCTCATTCCACTTTGTTGGTGACTGCCCATTAGAGCTCCCCTCCCCCATAATTCTGCCACCTCCTCACTCTGATCTGGAACTTGAAGGTTCCACCTAATTTGAATTTCCTTAGGGAATTCATTGATGGCTTGTTCAATTTCTTTTTCTAAAATGGTGTTATTTAAGTACTTTATTTCCTCTTCTGTTAATCTGGGTAATTTACATTTTTGTAAATATTCATCCACCTGATTTGAATTTCCTAGGCTTCCATCTCTTATTCTGCCTCATTTCTTCAAAGACCTCCGGTCCCTCCACCTCTCCTTGTTTTCTCCCTTCCATCCTTCCTGCCCTCCCTACACAATCTGGACCCTAGAGTTGCCCACCCTTTGTACTTTCTTCCCACAGGAATCCCTTGGCTTCCGTACTTTCACAATTCCTAACTGGCTGATCTCCAATCCCAATCCCAACCCCACGAGGACATCCCTCCACACACAAACACACTAATCCATCCTACACAGTGTTACCAAAGTGACTATCTTTTAACAATGACCTGACTACAACTCCCTCACCCAACTAATTCCCGTGGCTTCCTCTTGCTTCCAAGATCAAATAGAAACTCTCTCTTCATAACCTGATCCCACCCGAACTTCCTAGCCATCTTGAACATTAAAGCTAGTCTCCTTTCTGTTTCTTGTACATGACCCTCCGTCTCCCATCTCCATGAATTTGCATTGGCCATTCATCGTAGGCCATTCATATGCCTGGAATGCACTCCCTCCTTATGTGCACCTCAGAGAACCCCTCTCTTCCTTTAAGATTCATCTCAAACCCTACCTTCTACATAAAACCTTTCCTGATTCTCCCAAATGCTGGTGTCCTCCCTGACAAACCTTCTTGCATCTAACTGCTTTCTATATATTTGTCTTTATTCACATTATATTTGTGCTGCATATTTTTTCCATTTTAAAATGATTGATAGTTCTTTCTTCCCTTCCTCCTCCCAGAGAACCATCCCAAATGGTATTTTTAAGATCAAAAAAAATTAAAAAGAAAAAAAATCACCATAACTGATAAAAAAAAATTTTTTAAATATGTGCACACTTGTAAACCTTCCCCCTCTGCAAAGGGGTGGGATGAGGGTGTCTTCTCACATCCCTCTTTTCCAGTCAGGCTTGTTCTTTGTAATTTTTTTCTAGGGAATTGGGGTTAAGTGACCTGCCCAGGGTCACACAGCTAGTACGTGTCAAGTGTGTCTGAGGCCGGATTTGAACTCCGGTCCACCTGACTTCGGGGCTGGTGCTCTATCCACTATGCCACCTAGCTGCCCCTGTTCTTTGTAATTTTGCAGCACTCACTTTTGATTTATAATTTTGCTACATTTGCTTTTGATTTGTAATTGTGCAATGTTGACTTCTGACTCTTGGAGGATTGAATTCTGTTCTCATCCAGAGCTCTTCATTTTCTCTACAAGACTGGCAAGAGATACTTGAGCAAAAGCTTTGCTAAAATCCAGGTAAGTTCTATCCATCTCACTCATCTCATCTATTACATTAGTAATCCTATTAAAAGAACAGTCACAAGAACTATCGATCCTATGAAAAAAGAAAAACTCAGCACTTAGACAAAAATAGTAGTTCTCAAACTTTTTAGTCTCAAGACTTATTTTTTACACTCTTAAAAATTGTGGAAGACCCCTTTATATTAATATTTTGTATGCAAAACTAAAACTAATAAATATTGAAATATTTACTAATTTATTTAAATTAACTAATTAAATTAACTAATTATTTAAATTAACAATAATGAAGCCATTACATGTTCATGTAACATATCTTTATGAAAAAATAACTATAATTTCCCAAACAAAAAATTTTAGAGAGAAGAGTGGCACCATTTTATATATTTTTACAAACCTCTGAAGTCAATGCCTCTCCTCTCATTTACTTCTGAACTCCTTGCAATCTGGCTTCCAACGTCATCATTCCACCTCTCAATTTCGCCTTCACAACGTATCTCCAACTTCTCTCCTCAGATACTGCCACCACCATGGAAGAGGCCCTACTCTCCTCGTGCCTTGACTATTGTAATAGCCTGTTGGTGGTCCCTCTGCCTCAAATCTTTCCCCACTCCAATCCATCCTCCATTTAGCCAACAAAGTGATTTCCCTAATTCACAAGTCCAGCCATGTCACCTCCCCCACACACACTCAATAAACTGCAGTGGCTGTCTGTCACCTCCAAGACCAAATACAAAATCCTTTTTGATTCAAAGCCCTTCCCCCACCACCTTTCCGGTCTTTCTGCACCTTATTCCTCACCACACAATTTTCTGTCCAGTGGCACTGGTTTCCCTTACATTTCTCACACAAGATGCTCCATTACTAGACTCCAGACATTTTCTCTGGCTGTCCCCCATATCTGGAATGTTCTCCCTCCTCATATCAACCTCCTGACATCTGTGGCTTCCTTCAAGTCCCGGTTAAAATCCCATCTTCTACAGGAAGCCTTTCCCAATGCTTCCTAATTCTAGTGCCTTCCCTTTTAAATTATTTCCACTTTATCCTGTTTAGAGCTTGTTCGTACATATTCATTCACTTCTTGTCTCCCCCATTAAATTGTGAGCTCCTTGAGGGCAGGGTCTGTCTTTTGCCTCTTTTTGTATCCCCAACACTTAGCACAGTGCATGGCACATAGTAATGGCTTAATAAAAAAATAATCATTGACTACTAATTGACTTCAAGCAGTGGGGGCACCAGGGCAGTCACTGTTATAGTTGTAAATAGAGGTTAATCTCAGCAGGCTGGCATTAGCAGTTACAGGGTACCTGGAAAGCCTTCTTATAGAAGGTGAGATCTGAGCTGAGTCTTAAAGGAAAACAAGCCAGAGAGACCAAAAAGCAGAGAGGAAAAGAAAGAATTCTGGGCATTGGGGATAGCCGGTGAGAAACTGATTTATGATGTGGCTTGTTGTGTTGGGGGAACAAGAACAAGGCCAGTGTCCCTGGATCATAGATTACACAGAGGAGGGTAAAGTGTAAGAAGACTGGGAAGGGAGGGAGGGACCCCATATTGAAAAGGGCTTTCCATTTGATCCTGGAGGTGAGAAGGAGTGACTGGAGTTTACTGGGGGGGAGGGGAGTGACGTGGTCCTGGCTGAGTTTTAGGAAAAACACTTTTGATCCCTCTTAATGCCTGTGTCTTCCCTCTGTGATTCTCTTCCATCTAGTCTACATACAACTTGTTTGTCCATGGATTTTTGGTATGCTATCTCCCTCTTTGGACTGGGAGCTCCTTGAGACCAGGGACCGTCTCTTCCTTTAGTACACGGTACCTGGTACATAATACCAGGTGTTTGATGATGAAGGCCCATGACAGGATAGTTACTATGTGTAAGTGAAGAAAAAAGAAGGGGCTAGGGCAGAGATGATCTGAATATAAAAATAACGAGATAGCATCAGATGGCATATGTGAGGTGACTTTGAGTGAGGGGTCAAGGATGATACCAAGGTGATGAACCTGAGGGACTGGGAATATGGTGGTAGCCCTGACAATAATCAGGAAGTTGTGAAAAGAAGAATATTTTAGGCAAAAGATGAGTTGTGTTTTTGATATGTTGAGTTTGAGATGTCTATTAGACTCCTAATTCCAGATGTGGAAATTGAAGATGTGATGGTAGTGGAGCTCAGGAGAGAGACTAGAGTCAATGTGTGTGTGCGTGTGTGTGTGTGTGTGTGTGTGTGTGTGTGTGTGTGTGTGTGAAATGAAGAGGTCTAGTGTAGATGCAGAGAGCTTGGCACAGTGATCATCCACGTTCCTCTTCATTCTGGTAGAGTTGCAATGATGTGGAACAGAAGAAATTGCCTTGGAGAGACTAGGGAGCATATGTGGACCTTCTCTACCTGGTGGCTGTCAGCTGAGCACCTGCTGGAGAGGATGTTCTTTGGTTGGCTGTGGAGTCATCCAAAAAGGTCTGTCAGCGTCAGCCTATTACTCTTCCCCTCTTTCATTCCTTCACTTCTTTGGTGACTATTGCATCTGTCAAGAAGCCACCCTTTGAGCGGGAAGGCCTGATGACCTTCTCCCCTCTGAGGCTGTGGCCTTGAGAAGCATAGCTTGGTCTTTGGCCTTTCATTTTTCCCCCTATTCCAATGGAGCCCCCTATGTTGAAAGATTCAAAAGTCTGGGAGAGCAAGACACAGGAATACGGGAGCCGACGTCCAAAACTAGCTAAGCATCAGTGCCCAGAGGAACAAGGAGTGATCTTTGGGACTCTTAGCCCAATGGTAGCTGAGACAAGGACTTACCCAGTAGAGACTTTGACTTTGAACAAGAACTTTATGTTGTTCAGTCATGCCCAACTCTTTGTGACTTTCTTGGCAAAAATGCTGGAGTGGTTTGCCATTTTCTTCTTCAACTCCTTTTACAGATGAGGAAACTGAGGGTAAAGTCACAAGGCCAAGAAACTGACTTACCCAAGACTACACAGGTGGTAAGGGTCTGAGGCAGGATTTGAACTCAGGAAGATGAGTCTTCCTATCTGCAGGCCCAGCAGGCTATCATGGGATCTATGCCATTTAGAAGTGGAGCTAAATCTTGAGCTGACTTCTCCCCTTCCTCTTTTAAGTTAGTTCTTTGTCCACTCGCATCTGCTTTCCTGCCTGCTTTTTTCAACTACATAGAATAAGATGCCCCTCCCAGTTAAGTTCACCAGATCTAATCTCATTACCTTGCTGCTCATGTAGGCTTTAACGGACACTACCTCCTGCAACTTCCTCTACCCCCCCAGTGAAGGGCTGGAGGATGAACCAACTCCCTCCCCCTACCACCCATGCCTTCTTTTACAGAGGGCAGAAGCTAGCCTTCTGGACTCCCTCAACTCTGCATCTACTACCCTACCTGGATTTTTCAACTCTACAGAACAATATGCCCTTGCATTGGGAGTCCTCTGATGTCCTTTCTGCCCCAATTAGATTGTAAGCTTTTTGAGAGCAAGGACTGCCTTTCTTCTTATTAATTGTATCCCCAGTGCTTAGCATGTGCCTGGAATATAGTAGGTGTCTAATTAGCGTTCATTCAATAAGATTGCGTTGTCCCTAGGATGAATTCTGTTTCCTCTACTTTTATGCAATATTCTTCCCAATGGGCTCCTTCCTCTCACCACCACTCCTGTTTGTCAGTCCTCTCTCTAGTTGAAGGATTTCTTTTCCTTTCTTTAATTATCTATAGCTTCCCCCCTCCCATTTTTTTGTGTTTGTTTCATTATCTATCTCATCATCATATTTTCCCCTTTCCCTCTCTCACTTAACTGATTACTTTAACATGCCTCCTCTACTCCCGTCCCATTTATTTTATTTATTATTGTATTTTTATGGGAACTTTTTTCATTGCTTCTTTTACCTTCCTGTCTATCTTGAACTTTCATTCTCTGATTCATGCTCTACATTGCTATTTGTTTCTACTTTAGTCTCAGGGCTCTTCACAGTGTTTAACATTTGAACTACTAGGTATGAGTCCCATCTTCTAACCAATTTCTGGGAGGTTCTAGGAGTCAACATTCACCAGCTGTCCAGAACAGAACAGGGCCATCTGCATCCAAATAAGTCTGAGCAACTAGGCAATGCAGTGGATAGAGTGCTGTGACTGGAGCCAAGAAGACTTGAGTTCAAATCTGACCTCAGACACTTACTAACTGGTGACTCTGGGCAAGTCGTTAACCTCTGTTTGCCTCAGTTTCCTCACCTGTAACATGAGGATAACAGCATCTACCATTGAAGGTTGTCATACAGATCAAACAAGATAATATTTGTGGGGCACTTTGTAAAGTGCTGTATAGATGGTGGCAATTAACTTGCATGGTAGCAAGATTCATAGTCCAGCAAAACAAATTCTCACCTTGGCTAAGTCCAAAAATGTATGTCCCATTCTGCACCCTGAGTCATCTCCTCTGTGTCGGGAGGTGGGCTGCCTCCTTCATGTTCGGTCCTCTTGGATAACTTGGGTAGTCATTGTATGCTTCAGGTTCTGAAGTTGTTCAGTAGTTTTTCTTCATAATATTGCTGTTGCATAAATCCTTTTCTTGGTTCTGCTCAGTACTCTGCCTCAGTTCATACAAGTTTTCCCAAGTTTCTCTGAAATGGTCCCTGTCATTAGTTCTCGTGACAAAGTAATATCCATTAGATATTATTAAGAGCTACCATTTATAAAATGCTTTAAAATCCAGAAAGCACTTTTCAAATATTAACTCATTTGATCCTCGCAACAACCCTGAGAAGCAGGTGCTATTATTATACCCATTTTACATATGAGAAAACTGAGGCAGACAGAAGTGAAGTGATTTGCCTTGGGTAACACAGCTATTAAATATCTGAGGCCAGTTTTGAACTCAGATCTTTCCAATGCCAGGCCCCACACCATCTCCACTGCATTGCCCAGTCATTACCCAAATAATGGGGACCCCTTTGTATCATTTATTTGATTTTTTACCTCTTAATACCCCCTTCAGAATCCACCCTCCCAAGTGAACATTCGTTGTGCTTTTGACTATTCCCTCCCCATTATTGTCCTCCATATTAACCCCCCTCCCCACCCCTGCTTATCCCCATATATATGTATATATGTATGTATGTATGTATGTATATATTTTAGTGAGGCAATTGGGGTTAAGTGACTTGCCCAGGGTCACACAGCTAGTAAGTGTTATGTGTCTGTGGCCAGATTTGAACTCAGGTCCTCCTGACTCCAGGGCAGGCTCTATCCACCAGGCTACCTAGCTGACCCTGCTTATCCACTATTAAGTCTGATTTATTTCTACACCAAATTGCATGTGTGTGTGTGTGTCTGTGTGTGTGTGTGTGTGTGTGTTCAACCCTTCTTTGTCCTGTTGAGAATGAAGATCTTCTTACACCCTCTCCCCCTGCCCTTCCTACATGTCTTTATATGATTCTCTCATGTACCCAACTACAGGAAATAGAAAGTTCCAACTGCTTCTTCCTCCTTTCTGCACTGATGAAAAAAGAGGGAAAAACATAACTCTATTCATATGGATTTATCTGATGAATGCATTTTCTGTGTCATCAAGTCCTTGATAAGCAAATTAATTAGATTCGTAAGGTTTCATTCTAGCATGACTTCTCTGATGTAAGGCAAAGCTGGAGCTCTGGGTGAAAAGCTTCCCACATTCATTACATTGATATGGTTTCTCTCCAGTATGGATTCTCTGATGGACAACAAGGTTCAAGGCAGTTCTGAAAGCCTTTCCACATTGATGACATGGGTGAGGCTTCTCTGCAGTATGAATCTTCTTGTGGACAGTCAGGTAGTTGCTGCAGTGAAAGGCCTTCTCACACTGATTACACTTATAGGGTTTTTCTCCAGTATGAATCTTCTTGTGTGCAGCCAGGTATGAGCTAGAGTGAAAGGACTTTCCACACTGATCACATTTATGAGGTTTTTCTCCACTGTGAATCTTCTGATGTGTGTGAAGGGTTTTACTGCGGCTGAAAGCCTTGCCACATTCATCACATTTATAAGGCCTTTCTCCAGTGTGAATCTTCCGGTGAGTACTAAGAGATGAGCTCTCACAGAAGGCCTTGCCACACTCTTTACATTTATAAGGTTTTTCTCCAGTGTGGATTCTCTTGTGGACAGCAAGGCTGCAGGACTGGCTGAAGGCCCTTCCACAGTGATCACATTGGTAAGGTTTCTCCCCAGTATGTAATCTTCTGTGTACATTAAGGGCTGAGCTTTCCCTGAAGGTCATCTGACATTCGTTGCATTTATACGGCTTCTCTCCGGTGTGAATCTTTTTGTGCACAGTAAGGGTTGAGGTTTGGCTGAAGGCCTTCCCACATTCCTTACATGGATAGGGCTTCTCTCCCGTATGACTCCTCTTATGCACACTGAGACTCGATCTCCGACTGAAGGCCTTCTCACACTGATTACATTGAAAGGGCTTCTCTCCGGTATGTCTCTTCTGATGTGCCATAAGTGTTGAGCGCTGGCTGAAAGTATTCCCACACTCATTACATTTATGAGGCTTCTCTCCACTGTGAATCTTTTGATGTAGAGTAAGGGATGAGCTCTGGGAGAAGGACTTTCCACATTCATTACACTTATAAGGCTTCTCTCCAGTATGTACCCTTTGATGTACAGCAAGTTTGTAGGGCCTTGGGAAATCCTTCCCACAATGATTACAGATGAAAGATCTCTCTGGATCATGAATCTTCTTGTGTCCATTAAAGTATGAGATTCCACTGAAGGTCTTCCCACATTCATTACATCTGTAAGGCTTTTCGGCACTCGGCATTTTCTGATCTTCAGTAAGATCTGGGTTCGCTTCCAGCTGATTACTTTTATCGGTTGACTGTGGAGTAAAACTACCCTCAGATTTGTTACATTCATCATCTTCCTTTTCCCTTGGAGTTTTCCTGAGGATAATATTTAATTTTCTGGAATGACTCTTCAAGTTGTCTTGCTGTTTTTCTAAATTAATTTCACGTCCCTTGATTTTTCTCAAATTGAAGTCACTGGAACTATTGAGCTCTGGAGTAGAGTTCTGGGTTTTAGGTCTATTCCTTCTGCCTGAAGCAAGCAAACAAGACAAAACAAGACAAACATCCAGAAATATATCTGCTTACTTCCCTTGGCAGAAACTAAAGTGATTTACCTTAGTGTCACTTTGGTCTCCTCCATTCTCCCTTGCCTTCCCTCCCTCCAGTTTTCTTTGTTTGTTTTATCCCTAGCCCTTTACACTATGCTTTGTACAGAATAATTATTTAATAAATATTTTCTCATTGGTTTATTCCTTCATTTAGTATTTTACTACTGACACTTCAATAGCCCTGTCCTCACATCAATGTGGGGGACCTAGGAGGTCCATGGGTTGAGCAGAGCCATCCCACATAAGCCTGTCCTATACTTATCCTATCTTAATTTGTTAATTCCTTTCACAGAACTGGACATACTACTCAGGTGAGGTCACAACAGATCTCAGTGCAGCAGGCCTATTAGCATCTTTGGTCTAGACACACTGATTATATCCATGCAGCTTAAGTTCACTTCATCTTTCTTGCTTGCCATGCCTCACTCCTGACTTCTTGCTTTGACACATTCAGCTCTTTTTCTGCATCAGATGAATAACCAGACCCATCTCCCCCAACCTCTAAATGTGCACATGAATTGTTGAACCTAAATGTAAGACCCCATAGATATCCCAACTATATTCCATCTTATCTATCACATTTGGTCCACTGTTCTATTGACCTTTTATCTTCCCCTAAAGCACATCTTTAGACTACCATCAATGGGACCTAGTCATAGAATGGGGCATATACTATTGACCAACTATACCTCATCCTTCCAACAGAGCAGTCAACATCTCCTCTGTCTCCTGTGTCCCTCTCAGGATGGAGGATAATATCTTATACCTACTAGGCAATGGAACGTTTATCTACTCTTCCCTTGAATATGATTTGAAAAAGTTGATGTCCCTTCTTCTAATTTAAATATAATTTTTTATTACATTCAGTGGAGGATGCATTTTGTATTTCCATTTTTCTATATCTGTGTATAAGATTTCAGGACCTAATACTTGGTCAATTTCTATACAGGTGCTGTGCTAAGCTGAGAAATAGGCACACTCTATTCCCAATCAAGGGATATGACTCCGAAGAAAGAATTCTAAGATAAAGGGGAACCACTCTCACCCCACAAGAACAGGGAAAGAAAAGGCTCAGAGTCATTGTGAGAGGCACTCTTTCTCTAAGAATGCAAGCAAAGATCAAACAAGATGAATCAGGAAAATGACTTATGTTGATGCTCACAGCAGGCAACCTCAGCCCTTTTCAAATGACCTTGGAAGACTGTGGGAGAATGCCCTGCCCAACATTGGCAGATAATGACTTCCTGAAGTAAATCCCTGAAACCTTCTAATTTGACTCACTCACCTAGACAGGAGTTCCTTGGGTCCTTATGTTCCAGCAGCCACGGTGCTTCTCTTTTGTCCAACTTTGAGATCCAATCTGCTTTGGGAACTGGAAGCCCTGATCATGGTAGATAGCAAAGGGATACAGAAACCTCTAAATTCACTCCTTTGTAAGGAAGGGGTTATGTTAGGAAGGAGCAGAAGGTAGTGCCCAGGAATTCATAGGAATAATGTATATGATGCTGCTGGGAGCTACAAAAGGGAAAAAGGAAAAGTCATGGAGCCAATTTGCAATCACAGAATTGGTTTTTTGTCCATCTCCCTCTGGGAAGAATAGGAAGTCTCTATAACTTTTGTCTTTCTTAATGAAATTTAAAGAAAATATCAAGAAAGAATGAGGCCAGACTTGCTCTTATAAGCCCCTACTTCCCACACTTCCCACAGGGGAAGGGGCTGCAGCAGGACCTAGTGGGTTCCCTGAGCCAGAAGTCCACCAGAGAAAAAGCTCATTGACCAGTGCCTAGAGATGCTTTTGAGGAAATTATTGTCCAAGTGGGACTTAGACCCTGAGGTCACATCTCAGTCTGAGAGTCCATAAATCTGATTCCATCTTTGACCTAAAACTCCCTAGAATTGGGAGGAAACTACCTGAGGAATAATAAAAGAAACTCCCATTTTCCTATTAGACAAGGCATGATGTGAGAACAGGGAGCACAAGTCTCTGTCTCTTCAACAGGGAGGAATTAGCCATCTTTCATTTTCAATCATGCATAAATGTTTGACACACTTCACCAAGTAGGTGAGGAAGGAGCAAAGGCAGTCCCTTTCAATAGAAGATTTCTATTGGTTGGGCACTGGTGGGATCAGAGGGCAAATCATCCTTACCCAGGGAGAGCATGTTCTGAGAGATCTCCAGCATGACATCCTTGTACAGCTTCTGTTGTGAAGGGTCCAGGGAGCACCACTCCTCCTGGCTGAAGAACACGGCAACGTCCTTGAATGTCACACCTATCTGAAAAAGGATTTGGAGGCTTAGATTTTGGCAATGATCTAGCTCCATACAACAACCCATTTACAGAGGAGAAAACAAGCCCCATAAAAGGCAGGTGACTGTGACTTGGCCACGGGACCCAGGATGAGTGTCAGAGCCAAACTGTGAAACCATCATTGGTAAGAGTGAATCCAATGATGAGAAAAACAGTCTGTGTCAGCAATTGGAAGGGAGTTAGGAAATGTCTTATTGTCAAGTACTCATCCCTGTGACTTTTATTTGGGATCTTTTAGACTCCATGAGCATCTGTGGAGAAGACAGATGTGATGTAAGAAGAGAGAAGAAGATGATGTAAAACAACTTCTTTATCAAGACTGTCCCAAGTGTTTTATTCAAGACACTCTCTTCAAGAATAATTATGAGGACCTGGCAAGAACAAAGTCATTTGCAAAGAAGATTCCCTGGGATTAATGAAGCAAGGACAAAGAAAAAAAAGCCCCATATTGTTTCTTTCCTGAGACAAATTTGATTTTTATCTAACAAGACAAAGATGAAGACTTTTTAAAAAATACATTTTTACTGATGCCTTTTGTCTTACATTTTCATAGATTTCTCCCTTATATGCCACCTCCCACAAAGCCATCCTTTATACAAAAACATTTTTTAACTAAAAAGTTTTTTTATTGTTTAACCACTAGTTATTATAAAGTATAAACACTAGTTAGTTTGGTCATTGCTGCAGTCATTGTGTATAGTGTGTGCTAGAGTCTACTTACTTCACTTTGCATCAGCTCGTACAAGTCCTTCCATGCTTCTCAAATTCACTATTTCTTGTGACACAACAATATTCCATTACATTCACAATTTGCTTAGTCATTCCCAAATCAATGGGCATCTGCTCTGTTTGTTATTTGCTACTATTAAAATTCCAGCTATAAACATTTTGTATATATGAGGCCTTTCTTTTTGACAGTAACCTTCTTGGGGTATATGCCTAGCAGAGAAATCTTAAGGTCAAAGGAGATGCACAGTTTGGCCACTTGATCTACTTAATTCCAAATGGCCTTAGAGAATGATTGTGCAGAGTCACAGCTGTACCAAAAGTGAATTAGTCAACTTATCTTTCTACAGTCTCTCCAATACAGACTAGCCCTACTTTCTGTTATTTTTGTCGATTTGATGGGTCTGGGGTGAAACTTTAGGGTTGTTTTGATTTACATTCTTGCTGTATTTGGAATTTTCTTTCATAGAGTTGTTAAGTGTTTGTCATTCCTTTGAGAACTCTATTCATATCCTTTGAACAATGAGATACTGAGGAATGCCTTTTGGTCTACTCTGTTGCTGTGAGTTGTCTAACAACTAACATCTTGAATTCAAAAACCTTTCCTGAGAAATTTTCTACAAAGATTTTTTTCACCAGATGATTGCTTCCCTTCTTGTCCCAGATGCCTTGATTTTATTTGTGCAAAAGCATTTCCATTTCATGCAATCAGAATGATCCATTTCATCTTTTACAAATCCTTATCCAATTAAGAACTCATCTCCTTTAGTTGTAAAAAGTATATGATTTGAGAATCTCAATTTTTTTTGGTCCTGTGATACTTAATATTCAGGCCATATCTATTTAGAATTTATTGTGGAATATGCTGTCATCTGTTGGTCTAACACACAATAATACAACCAACTACAAAATGCTTCTTAAATTTAAATTGCTGAAGAGATAATTAGGGTTAATGGATGGGCCGTGTCATTATAAAGAAAATGACAGTATTACCAAAGTTAAATTAAAGATTTAATGCTACACCAACCAATCTACCAAAGACATACTTTGCAGAGCTAGGTAAAGTAGTAAATTTCATTTGAAGGGACAAAAGGCCTAGAATATAAAGACAAATAGTGGGGGAAAAAAAACAGGAATGAAGGGGGGAAAGTACAACTTACTTCAAACTTATAAGACAGAGCAGCAGTCATCTAAACATTTGATTCCAGTTACAAAAATAGAAAGAACCTGTTCAATGCACAGATGAGACAACTGAAATCCAAATATTTCTGTCTTTTTCCAGGGTACCACCTGGGTCTTTGTTTTAGGTTGAAAATCTCAGCATTGCCCTGGACTCCTACTCTCCCTCACTTCACTGACATCCAATCAGATGCCAAAACTTATTATTTTCACCTTCTCAACATCCATTGTGTCTGATCCTTTCCTTCCTTCCTTCTCTCCATTCACACAGCTCTGGTGAGATTAAGTTTAATATGGATGAATGTAAATTCTTACACTCAGGGATAAATACTCATCTTCCCAAGTACAAAATAGGAGGGGCATGATCAGACCACAGCTCACCTGAAACAGATCAGAGTAGACTGCAAACCCAACATGAATCAAGAGTGTGGTACTATCATCCCAAAAGCTAATGCCATTGGAGGCTTCACTATGAGAGATTCGGGATACAAAATCACATACCTAGCCTTCCCTGTTTGCTCTGGTCAGACCCCCTTCTGAACTTTTGTTCTGGGATCTAGACTTTATATTTTAGAAAAGCCCTTTGGAAGGGGCAGAGCACATCCCCAGGAGGGTGACCAAGATGGTGGTGGATTATGAGGTTGGGCCATTTAGAATAAGGTTTAGAAGGAAGTTTGGAGCTTTTATCTTGAGAAAAGATCTCTGTGAGATGTGAATGATAGTGGTCTTTGAGTATCTTAAGGGCAGTCACAGAAAGGAAGATTTGGACTTTCTCTGCTTGGCAGAACAAGGAACAATAGGGAAAAGTTGGAAAGAGGTGAAATTAGGCTGGATTGAAAGAAAATCTTCCTACTCAACAGAGCTGTCCAAAAGTGTAATAAGTTACCTATATTTAAGAAAGGGTGGGGTTTGTGGAAGAAGGGTCAGGCACTGGGTCAGAGTTGACTGCTAAGATTCCTGCCAACATAAAATCTGGTCTATGTATGAAATGGAATAGCAACATGTCCTAAGAAAGAGGGAATGGGAGATATTCAGACAGACCTAGTAGGACTTGTATGAATCGAGGCAGGCAGAAGTGAGCAGGACCAGAACATTTATACTCTGATCATGATATTGCAAAGCAAAATAACTGAGAAACATTTCAGAACTCTGGTCAAGGCTTTCCCCATATAAAATTAGTTTGTAATATTGTTGTTTGCCACAAGAGGGAGCATTCGGGGGGGAAAAAAAAGGTGGGAGGGAGAGTGTAAGATGCAGAACTAGAAAGTTAGAGATGAACCGTCAATAAAACAGTTAAAATACATAAAGAAATGAGCAGAAAGACATTCATATGAGGAGAGTGAGAAACAGGCAGTGCTATTACATTTTGTATGTATGTTTAAATGAATATATGTGTGTATATGTATATATATACATATATACACATACACATATTCATTATATATTTATATGTATATGTCTGTAGATATGTATATATATATACACACATACACATATATATATTCAAAACAGACACTGACAGATTCATTTACAATCTCCTTCTGTTGTTCTCTGTCTATAGAAATGTTCATGTTTGCTAATGTTTGCCAAGTCTGTGGACTAACTGTACTTACCTGGGATGAAGTCCTCTGGGTCCCAGGGGCCATTCCCTCTGGCCTCGAGCTTCTGTCTTGGGTCAGGCTTCGACCGCCTACAGCCTGAGCTAAGAAAGGAGAAGCTTCCCAGAGGAGGAGGAGGGGATCTTTGTTTTCCCCTTGCAGGCAGGTTACTGGCTTTCTCCACAAGGACCTACAATGGATAAGGGACCAAGGAGGGTGAGAGCCCCAGGCTCTTCCATCAGGGGAGAGATTCCAATCAAAGCAGCTTTGGAAATGTAAAAGGTCTGAACAGATTTCTACTTCCATTGCCTTTTCCCCTCCAATCTCCGCCCCCCCATCTCAGCCTCACCCCCTCCCCCACAAAAGGAACCCTGTGTCTAGACCAGGGATTTCTCAATCTTTTCTTGCATCATGGACCCCTTTGGCAAACTGGTGAAGCCTATTGGCCCTTTCTCAGAGTAATGTTTTCAAATGTAAAAATTAACAACAAGGGATTACAAAGGAAACCGAGTATTTTAAAATATATTTATCCAAATATTTTTTTAAACCAAGTTCATGAATCCCATGTTAAGAACCTCTGATTTAGAAACCTGACTGACCAACGAATCTAGGGGATAGGAGAGGAAGGTTAAAGATGGGAAGGGCCCTGGGACATGTAGGTCTGGGAATGGCCAGAGCCAGATTGGGTCTTAGAGAGACAATCTCTACGGGGAATAAAGGGATTGGAGAGAGGATGGAGAGCAGTCTAATGGGGCTGGGACAGGGAGCGAGACTAGAGAGAACCCAAGACGAGGAGAGAGGGTCCAAAGTGAGGGGGAGACTGGGAAAGAAATCCTGGGTCCTAGTATGGAAATGAAGACTGTGAAAGAAGTTGAGTCAAGGAGACAGGAGGCCTGGGTTAGGAAAGCAGACGCATGATCTGCGATGGGCAGACGGATGAGTAAGGCACGCTGGGCACTGTAACAGTGCTAAGGGGTTTAATGGGGCAAGAGCATTCATGTACCAGGAGGGGAGGGGAGCGGGGAGTTGGGAAAGTAGCATCCCTGGGTTCAGTAGCTGGCAGAGGATGGTACGGAAACGGTGGAGAGCAGGGCCGAGGGCGGGGCGGGGGGGAAAGGGGACCTGGAAAGAGTGAAGGAGCCGGAGCCAGGGAGGAAAGAGGCCTGGGTCCCTTTCATGGGGAGTAGGTGGACAGGATTCCTGGTTTGTGGGGATGTGGAGAGGACAGGATGAAGGCAGGATGTCTGGATCCAGATAAGGGAGGGAGAAAGACTCACCGGGAGGTCAGACAGGAGCAAGACAGATGAGAAAAGGGCTGGTAGAGACGGGCAGGAGCTGAGGCTAGGGCTGGCAGCCGAAGGTGAGCCAGGATCTAGGCTGAGTCTTGTCTGGGACTCAGCCTTGGGTCAGCTGGAGATGAGTTCCCACTCGCAGTCACAAAGGATTCTTGTAGGAGGCGAGCAGGGCTGCGCTTGCAAAGGCGGGGCCTCACTAGCCCGTCACGCTGCGGGGGGTGGGGTGGGGGGTGTTCCTCCTCTGTCTCGGCGCCCCACCCCTTTCCTCGAGCCCCACTTCAGCCGCCCCGCCCCTGAGGTCTTTGAAGTAGCACTTGCCTCCGATCCTATCCTCTCAGTACTAAACTGGAGAGTCCTAGGTCCGAGCACTTGCTGTCAGGTGTACATTCCCTGCGGCCTCTACCTGGCCTCCGGGGTCCAAAGCTCAGGTCTCTGCTTTCCTCTCAAGCCCCACGCTCTGCCCTCAAACTTCTAGAATTCAGTGAACATGGAAATGGCCCCCGTCACCCTTGGGTCTCTCAAGTCACTAACCTCAAGACCAGGAACCCCATCTCCACTCTACCCGGTCCACCACCCCTGGAGCTGGTCAGCTGCCTCCCATAAAACTTCCACCTCCATAAAACTTCTGCCTGCTCCAAAAGCCAGACCCTCCTACCTTCCTTATCTCCCTCTGCCCCATTCCTTCCAAACTTCTTCTTCTGCACCAGTCCTCACATGCCTCCATGGACTCTTAACCATACCCACTACTCAGGCAAGGAGCCCTGCCCTTCCTGCCCGGTGTGAACCCGAGTTTTGCCTATCCCAAATCTACACTCTCCTCCACCTAAGAATCCCTTGGTCCTTTTTCCTGTCTTCATTCCTGATTTGCAAACCCTGGATCCCAAGAGTGCCTTTATTGAGCACTTCCTCTGTGTGAATCATTGTGCTAAGTGCCAAAGATACAAATGCACAAGAAAAGATAGTTCCTGGCCTCATGGAGCTTACATCTAATTAGAGAAAATATCTACAAGGAAGTTGTTATCAAAGAGAGGTGTCTTAGATTGAGAAATCACAGTGCTGGGGACTGGAGTCCTACAGTCATTCATTGAAACACTTTGGGTGTGATTGTAGTTCCTAGAACTAGGAGTGGAAAGAGATAGGGCTCAGTATGACACTAAGAGGGTCAGAGACTAACAACTGGAGGTCTGGCATTGGTTAGTTATGGAGAATTCTCCCCAATCAGGGGAGGAGGAGCCCTGGGTGAAAACTGGAGGGTTGGGTCTAAGGCAGGAAGAAAGATCACCTCTTGCTCTTAGCAGGCCAATCACACTACGAGGTTCATGTCCCTTCCCCCAAACACAGACACAGAGACAAACACAGACAAAGCATGCCCTGCCTGTTCGGGGACAACATGTGTGAATCAATATTTGGGTGCCTTAGAAATGACAAACTGTGGTTGCTTCTAGCCACATAGTGGTTCACTGCTGAAAGGGTTTGGCATTTTCCAATGAGGGGGCAACCGTGCTTGGTCCCTTTATCATCCCCACAGGCCATAACAGCAGCATTGGAATGAGGTGGTAGAGGATAGCTTGTGGCTAGCACACTCTTGACTGGGACTGTCCAAGTGATAGTATGTGACTTCCACGAAGGGTGAGGAAAGACACGTCTTTCTCCACCTCCAGAAGCACTGCATAGCAGCTTCTGCTAGGGGCTACAGACAGACACAATTGCTTTGGACCTCTGACTGCCTTTGCCACTCTTAAGGGAGACTAGAATATGCATAGTGCTCGGATGGATTCATCCCACATGGAGGAGGCTGGGAAGACTATTTCGAGGAGTCATGAAGACCTATAACGGAAATGCTTTGGAGAGATTTGCGTGCTTAGACATTATCTAACTGGGTTCCATTTTGCTAACCACTTGGATCTAGGAAGCCTTTCCAAGCGGCTGCATAGCCAGAACTGAGGATTTTATATGAAAGCACTAGTGACCAGAGCTTGACCATTTCTTTTTTGGCTGTTCATCCTCGGACTGATTCCTTCCTGCAAACCATCTGATGAGATGCAGCATTGTAAAGGCGAAAGCTTTAGGCCCTCTCTCCCCTGAGGTCAGCCTAAGGCCCCGTGGAGACAGAATTCAATCTCATTGCCTCACCCTTTAATCCTTTCTCTTTGGGGTGAAGGGATTGGACGCTGCAACCTTGTGATTTCTGAAGGGTGACAAGAGTGAGCATCCTGGCATCCCAGCACTCCCACCTCTGGGTTTTCAGTCAACCTCAGCACTGATTCCCCAAGCAACTAAGAGTGACCTTTAGGAGTGACCTTCAGAACCCAAGCTCCGTATAGCTGGGACAAAGACTCGTCAGGCAGTGATGCAGTATTTGAAGCGAATTTGTTGGCACCAATGACATACTAGAAGTGGGTTAAATACAGACAATATTTTTTAAAAGGTACCAGTAAAGTTTCATTTAAAAAAAGGCATTCCCTTTATTTGACTTTCAGACATGAATCAGATTAATCTCTTTGGAAATAAATTTTATTAGATTCTTTGTCCTGTCTTCAATAACCACAGGAAACATTCCTTGAAGAATGATTTCTTCTTGTCGGGTCTTCACAAACTATTTCTAGAATGATCTTTATGAGTTGTTTGGTTTTTTTGTTTTTTGTTTTTTGTTTGTTTTACTACATATCACTTAACAGTTTTGATAAAGGAATTTCACATCACCTTTTCTCTCTGTTTTTTCCCACAGGTGCTAATAGGTTAAAAAAATCAGAAAAACATACATCTTTTCCCCTTGACTCCAAACGGAAAAGCTTTCACAATGAGATTTTATAGCTACCTCCCAACCTGAAGCACAAACTTCTCTTCTCAACATTCCATCTGGCTCTTCATGTTCAGTCATTTCAGTGGTGTCTGATCTTACAAATTATGCTTTCAAATATTGACTCTAATGAATGAGAGCAGTGGAAATTAGTTGCCTTCTTTGGGCCTTGATTTCTTTCTCTGTAAATTAGAGGAGACTGAGCTAGATAATCTTGAACATCTTTGTCTTCTCTAAATTTTATGAACTTTAGTGTTTGAAGGAATCAGTGACATTCAAGGGTGTGGCTATGGATTTCACCCAGAAGAGTGGTGCTTTCTGGACCTTACTCAGAAGGAGCTGTACAAGGATGTCATGTTGGAGATCTCTCAGAACCTTCTGTCCTTGGGTAAGGGCCCCACCCATTCCTCAACCTAGTCCCTTTCTGTCCAAGAGAAAGAGTCTTCTTGTTCTCTCTGTTCTCACATCAAAAGTTCTTGCCTTGTTTAATAAAAGATCAGGAACTTCTTTTGTAGCTCTTCAGACTGTCCCTTTGCAATTGTAGGGTGTTTCAAGCCAAAAATGAAATCAAAATTATACAATATCAGTCAGAGAAGCGTCCTCAGAAATTATCTGATCTAATTCCTATCTGGATAAGAATTTCCTTTACCACATCTGTCAACATTGGTCAATGAGCTTTTCCTTGAAGACATCTACTTCAAGGAGCCCGTAACTGTTGATGCAGATGAATCAGGAGTGAGACATAGTCACCAAAAAAGTTGATATTAAAATGGGTTGCATGGATGGAAGCATAGTGTTCTTATGAAGGGAGCTGACACACTCAGTGTCCTGGGACCCTTGTGTCCAGATCTGGGCATCGTGTTGTATAAAGGGTATTTACAAATTTAGACAAAAGAAATAGAAGACAGGAAGGATATGGATGGACTATGTTCAACCCATCAGAAAGGGCTCCCACATTGAGGTAATAGCAAAGCCCCAAAGTGTAAATGGTAAAATGTTGAGTGAATAAAGAAATAAATGCAAAAACAT